AGTAAGGGCCTTGGAACATATTCCAAAGTGGTTCCTGAAGAAAATTAAATCATATTAACCCATAAACTTTGGGAGCAGATGTCCAAGTTCTTCGATCGCGAAACGTACCGTTGAGACAGGTCGCAGGATTGACGTGATTACTTCGTTTATAGCTATTTACAAAAGTGTTGGGGATGTTTGAAGCCTTAGCTATTGGGAAGTTTAAACCACCTTTGTGTGTTCATAAACAATTTGTTATCACATTAAATCCCCTTTGGTAAATTCAGCTATGAAAACCAAGTTTGATGTACTTCTATTTTCCCTTTATTGATTTTCCCTGTTATTCGGCCTTTAATTCCGCCTTCATACTTGACCACTCTTCATTTTCTCACCCCCTTTTCTTCAAGAAATTCATATACATACCTAGGACAAGTGCGTGTGTGATCAGATTGTTTGGAATCTGCTGCACAAATACATTGTACGGTTCAGGCAATTTACGTCTTCAGCGTTTTATATACTCTTGATCTTCGAGATTGAATACATGTTAAGGAATGAAACTGCATGCAAAGATTTTCCATGGCCATATTTGAAAAAATATCTATGGCCCTAAAGGCCGAATGCTCTAGACTATCTACCAGACTTAAATACTAACTAGTAGTTAATTTTATTTCACTTCCCGAGTGCTATTAAGATAATATAATCAATAATCGGTCAATTTATCATCTTTCGGATTCACATTATTTTGCAAGTGGATGAGGTTGGTAAACGTATATGATATAATGACCGACAGCTATTCCTTCTACAGATCATAAAAAGTGAAATAGAAAACTAGTCAGCAGAAAGGTTTTGTAGTCCAGTCGATAAGTCCTGAGCCAGCTACCTGAAAGCCAATGATTATAACTTACCCTACTATAAAGGACTTTTTCGAACCATGATCACTGTAAATAAGTGGATTTTAATTCACATTTATAGCTTTTATATATTCCATCTCCTTGATAAGTTTTAATACGGCAAGAAACAAGACCACTGTAAGATGAGATGCAAAAATTTTATTCCACAATTTCTCATTGACTGGAAACACTTGAAAATCACAAAAGTTATCATAATCAGCAAATAAATGCTGAGCATGCCTTAATCGCTTCGGGAAAAAAGATGCAGTTAAGCATTCACAATACTCCCAACAGACCAAGCAACTACAGGCACAAAATAACATTTAAGTAGTTGGAAAATGGGTTTACACGCATATATTATATAATACAAGGTTCTGGGGTTGGAAAAAAGGAAAGGATTTTGATTGTATTGTGTTCTCTGAGCCGGTTTGTTCATTCATGAAGATTTGATTGGCAATCAAGACAACATCATCAGCACAAACTTCAGAAAGAAGGAAAGGAGTTAAGAAACATATATGAGGAAGAAGTGCATCGAAATCAGTGAGCGAAAATTACGAACGAAATAAGAATAAAATGGAATGGAGACTACGCCAGAAAGTAAAAGAACATCTGTCAATGTAATGAAAACTTAATCAAAATATTCTTCAGTACGCATAGGTTGGGTCATAGTCATTCCATCACAATTGCTCCTGTGGAAGGAAGTAGATTGTTTATACTTTACATATTGATGTTTTTGAAGGTGTCATCGACTTTGACCCTATTTTCTGTATTCATTAGAAGTATATCGATTCCGCTTACAAAAACCCTACTATTCAAATGGAAACTTACGGGAACATGTTCATGAAATCTAGTACCCTCTCTTCTTTAAACCATTTTTATATGCTTGTGGCCTGAGTTGCATGTTGACTTACAAAAAACATATAAAGGTGATATGAACAGGAAACCTACCTACTTTGGACGGATTCAATGGACATTTTGTGCTGTAAAGTCAGGTCAGGGTAGCTGTAAGCAATGTCATTTTTAATTATCCCCTTTCGAAAGGGCTAAAGTTTGATCACCTATAAATGCATCACGGATAAACGACAGTTTCTACGGGGCAGTTTACGAATTAAGATTTTTTTATTCAGTCCTCCGTATTCCACGGCGAACTTGTTGGAGGTATTCACTTTCTTGGCGATTCTATGGAAAGGTTATGAGTTGCTCGTCGAGTTTGTCTACTGAATATTACGCTCTTGTTCTACTGAAAATAATATGACTAAACTGCTTATAACTGATGAACCATAATGACAACAGATCAAGTACTGATAGTCTATTCGTTTTTTCCGATAGCTTCATCTTTTCTTCGTTCGATTCAGAACAATAAATTGCTGGTCATGTTCACATTTTAAAGTGAACCTGTTGTTAGCATGATCTTCATTGAACTTTTCAAACAGCTAGAATGAATAATTCACGTGACTAAACGCAAAAACCCGTAATCATCATACCTGTAGTAATAATTTGTGTGGAAAATATTTACACAGTTTTTTTACTACCAGTGACTTTCTAAATGCACTCTCGCATGAATCTTCAGCATCAAATGCAATAAGTTTTAGCAAAGCTAGAATAACAAGTTTAACAGAATATGGTGGATTCATTGTATTTCGTTGCCTTTTCTTCACTTGCATACAGGCTATAATTTCATTATATATATATATATATATATATATATATATATATATATATATATATATATAGAGAGAGAGAGAGAGAGAGAGAGAGAGAGAGACAGAGAGAGAAATGAAATCCACATAATTCACTTATCAAGAAGATTATACTCTATAGATGACATAATGAAGGAACTGATACGAATTATGGAAGTTTAAACGAAATAGTTTATCATTACTAATATTGAAATTATCTTGTGCTTATATAGTCAGATTGTCATCTTGCTACATGTAACCAGACAAAATGGAATAGAAAGTATCATGTAACTGTATGAGATGAGTTGATAATTTAAACATAGTGTCAAACTCTTTTTGGCATGGGTTAGTAATCACAAATTATTTTATTTAAACCTCCCTAATCCGTATTAGTTATTTCATTATATCATCTAATGGACTACGATCTTCTTGATAAGTGAATTATGTGGATTTTATTACTCTATAACGTATATCTTATAAACTTATAAGCTGTTTACAGTTTAAAGAAAAAGGCGTCGAAATACAATGAATTCATCATATTCTGCTATACTTGTTTTTCTAGCTTTGCTTTGAAGGTTTGTTATAGAGTGCAGCAATATCCTCTAGATTCTTCAATGAAGCCTGGAAATCCGTGAAAACCCTTCATAGTCAATCACAGCCTATCAAACGTTTGAGAAAAATCATACGATCATACGTTTGAGACTCAGATTAGTTAAATATCTCTCTGGAAACAGTGCAGGACTTTCCAAGCGCATTAACAAATGTTTATAAACTGCTAATTTTTGTATATATTTGACTGGACAATACACCTCTATTGTTTTTGGCGTTTCTTTTCTGTTTTTGAGGTTTAAGGTTGTTGTTCAGACAGCCGATCCTATGTCTCTCTCTCTCTCTCTCTGTATATATATATATATATATATATATATATATATATATATATATATATATGATTTAGGATTGTATCTTCAGTCCATTTGATTAACTGAGCGAAACTCAGGGCTTCAGTGACATTTTCAAAGCTGCTTGGAGTTTACTTCACCTAAAGTTCCAATTCAGTAGGTCGCCATAGAGTCTCCCATGCTAGATTACAAAATGTGTGCGCAAAATCCTACTGATAGACGGAAACGAATGTTTCCAAATCCCACATATCAAGGAAGCTGTTAATCAGCCAGAAGCATGAATCTCAGATAAGTATGATAGTATTATTTCGTTTATTTGAAAAGTAATTTTACATACGACTTAACTGATAAGATTATGCATAACTCTGTTCAATGGCTCTCGATTAAACCTTTATTTATTTATGTTTGACGTACATTTCGGAAACATTTGCATGTTGAATGAAATCCATCATCTCATTTTTTGTGCTTGAAATTGGTTATTTCATTATTATAAATTAAAGTGAGCGATGAGATAATTTATTGTAAATACAGAAAAATCGGATCTTTTTTCAATGGGCTAGCAGTGGAATCCCGAGCTTGTGTTTCGTCCTATTTAGGACTCATCAGCCGGATGTGCCTGCCTTCCAGTGAGTAATTTTGTTCCCTTTAGGACTCGAACTCGGGCCCGATCGCTTCAAACGCCACAGCGTTATCCACTGTGCCCTCGAGTCATGGTAGCCCCTTCTTGTGGGACGGGCTTACTCTTAAAGTTGTTACTTGCACTATTCCGTCGTTGATTGGACCGAAGTTACTCGGTCTCTATTGGCACATGGGCTCCTGTGCGGATGCCTCAATACTGCCACTGTCTCGGTTTTATATTACTGGTGGGTAGTGACTAGCAGCGGAATCGAAGACGTGAGTTTCTTCCTATTGTGAGTTCTTAAGCTGAATGTAGCTACCTCCCAGTGGGCTATGCTGTTCCCACTAAGACATACTAAGAGACTGATCAAATTCGATCCAATCAATGATGGGATAACACAAGTAAAATGGTAAATCAGATCGTCTGAAATATGCGGATAATAGGAACTCGATTCTGTGTTCTGTTAAGTGACTTTAAAAGCCACTCTAGCAACTGTTGGAATAACCAGTCAAGTTTTAGTATTTCGACCAGGATGGTAGTATTAATAAGATAGAAATGTTGTTGGATATCTAGACAGTTGCATGTGTGGCCTTAAAGTAGCTCATACTGTTGTAGGCGCTTTGGAGGGCTGAAATGAGTGATTTATTATGTGGATGGGTTGGGACTTTGGCAAATATATTCAAGATCAATCATATCCAAGGTCAAGGTTAAGGTTTATTTGTTAGAATCAAGTGCTTAAGACAATTGTAAACATATAAAGTTATGACAGAAACAAATTCCTGACATTCACCACAACGAATACTTTAGCTTATGATTATTTAGTTGTCCTCTTCTAGTCAAAGCTGTTTAAGAACATTTTGTGTTCAGAGAAGTGATGTTAAAAAATGTAGTAGTAACTCTTCTTTTTTATAATCATTAATTTCATTGTAGTCGTCTTGGAGAAATCAAGCATAAAAACATTTTTTTTTGATTCTAGGTTTAAAAACATTTTCCCGAAAATAAAACAGGGATGTAAAAGCTACAGATCCTACAAGTGGCATATCTTTTTAAGAAAAATCAATGATAAACAAGTAGGACATATCAAAAATACAACAATGTAACTACAAACGTTATAAAATGAAGTTGTAGAAATACTGTTGAACTAGGAAAACAGAAAACAAAAACAAAGACTACGTAATTTGTAGGAAATTTACAAATATTCAAAATTATTAGTCTTCTTCTGTTGAACGTAAGATAAAATCATCTGGTGGATTGTCCGTTGAAAATTCAACTTTCTCGATTCGTCCAGTTGTTAAACGAATTAGTTTTCGCCTAGTTGAAATCATTAAGAAAAGGAAAAAATAAGTTCAAAGAATAATGTTGAGTGCAAAAAAGAATATCTATGTGAAAATGATACCATACTATTCGTGTAAACTGCCATAGTAAATATAAACATTTTTACATTGTCATCTTCTATTCATCGTCATTGGTTCATCGGTCACCATGCTAATAGATCGAAATCAGTTATACTCTCAACTGAGGAGTATTTCTGAAACAGCTATCAACAACTCATAAATACCCAGTGAAGCATTCTTGAAAATAATAGATAAATGGATCTTTGGGTTAATTTAACGAAACCTGTGTTAATTACGATTGGTTCGCTCATTTAAAATTAGTAATCTTTGTTTCAGGTTGGTGTTCATCACAGACTGACTTCAGTAAGACAAACATTTGAGATCTAAGGATGTTGGATAGCTGTACCGTCCTAGTATGGAACTCCTCAGCAGCGAGGACCCACAACCCTCCGAGGCTGGAACCCAAAACCTTCACGTCTCGAGGCCGGCACGCTACTATTGAGCCATTCGGCCGAAATTTCGTGGTTCATGTTACTTACTCCTTTCGGTTCATGATATAGCGCTACCTCCATTCATTGTGGCCATTCAACAACTGTCCTCTTATTAAACTTGGTTGGTCGCACCAGTCAGGACTTCTCATTGGGACTTTGGGAATCACCTCTCGAAGCAAGTCACCTATGAGCACTAGAATTATTCGATTTGGAGATTTCTGGGGATTCATTTATTTGTTTTCGGTTGGTACTTATCATGAACTGATATCCATTAGACGAACATTTGGAGCATTGGATTCCAAAGCAGTCCTGGTAGTGGAACCTGAAGATCCTGGGATTGATCCTCAGCAAGGTCATAAGTACGCACTCCTGAGGAGTTACATACTAAGACAAAACAGCTGTGTAGTCCTTGCAGGTTTCTAATGTTTCTCCAGTTGATATCAGTCCATGATGAACACCAACCTGAAATCAATAAATAAATCCTCACAAACCTCCAAATCGAGTAATAATAATTTTGACCCTGCCAACTCACCAGATTCTTAGCTAGGAATAAATATCCAGAGTACCTTAAGTTTCTTGAGACGCCAATATAGAAAAACATAATCGACATTTTGAAGATTTACTCAATCAGTGTGCACTAAGCTGTTTTCGAAATTTTTAATAGAAATTCACTTTGCATATGCGTTGGCATACTTTGTATGTAGTGCTGATATAACATTGAATACGCAAGGAATCATGTGGAAAATTCTTGATTTATAACAACAGTGAACCACCATTATAGTACAACAAATAAATTCATGAAGTTTTTTATAGTCAGTATGAGTTACGTAGGACACTATGCAGTTGTAAGGTGGAAACGTGAATTCAGTGTTTGAAATCCTAGATAGACATTAGTCATTAACATTTCTGATGTTCATGTATTTCTATGGTTGATCCTACAACTCAGTGCATTTAATGAAAATTTGTAAGACGAAACGATGCAAAAAAAACTGAGCTAATATACTGTTTTAATCCTTTCGCTTTTCTCGCCTTTTTCTTTACGCTTAATAAACTAAAAGGCTGATTTTGCTTATTGGCTTTGCTTCTCAACCCAGAGTCTGATAATAAAACCTCATCATAATTGCCTTTTCGTTATTCGCTTTTATAATTTACTGTAAGGAACTCTTTCAAAGTATATGACATGAATACGCTGAGTAATTTTGTTCATTACCAATCATGTTGTTAAGTCCTGCTTAATAAAATCAATCATTATATAACCATTTCAACTGAAAAACATGCAAAAAGATACAACCTAATTCTCCAAGTCTTGTTTTGCAAAACGCTTAAGATACAGACTTAGTACAAACATAACCCAATTAGCACCATCCCCAGTGTTGTGGAACATATCTTAGGTAACACATACTCACTTAAAAGCTTGGTAGTACCCCTCATGAGGTTCATAGTTTAGCAAAATATTTTTAAAAATAAAGATCAGCTTCTTTTTGATTTTTGCATGTACAACGGTCTTCATTTCATAGAAAAGGAATAAGATTGACTTTTTTGACATCTGAAATATTTATTTCATTATCACTAACTAACTTCAAAAGAATTCCAATTTGTAAAATGTGTTCGTATAATAATATACTGTTGTCACTTGATTTCGTTTCAGATGTTCTCTTTACTCGCCTTACAAAAAATACGTCTATCTACCCGGGTAGATTTTGTTTCGTAAGGCTTTTTATTTCATTGAGGTAAAACAAGCTAAAGATACCCAGATCTGTAGTCAGTTAGCCTTGTGATATATGCCTTAAAATATTCAAAAATTAATTTGCAATGGTTAAAACTAATTTTGTCTGCTTTTGATCATGAGTAAATGTTTCCCAGATTATATGACCTGTGGACATAATGAAGTAAAATTGTCTGTGACGTCGTCACATAAATTCTGCGCACTTTAAACTTATTTTCAATAACAACGTGACAACACCACTTCTTTTTTTGAAGCTAAGATGCACTGTGTGCATTGACTGGTTGTGATAACCTGGAAAAGCACTAGTTACAGTGTGTTTGCTAGCTGGAATTGAGGTAATTAAAGTGGAAGTTTCAATCTCATTCATCAGCTGCTTAACTGCTCACTTATTACTGATGACTTGACAATTTATTATTATCAGATCATCAAAATGAACCCACTTTCAAACATCTAAAACTCATATAGGCACAGAGATATACAAAATTTAATACAGAAAATAATAACCGATTTCGATTAAAACGTACCTTGTAATCGACTTGCAGTATAAAAGTCGAAGATGTTGAAGCTTCTTGCAGCCTTTCCTAAGGTGACTCAAAGATGTTTCTCTAAGAAAGTATGAACATTTATACGTTGTAAGACATGAAATCCGGTAGAGAATACATATAAGTTAAAACTTTTACGGTGAAAATGAGCATTCCAGGTTACCTCCATGAAACTTTGAAACATTCTTAGTATGAAGTGGAAATTTCACCTATTGTATCCACAATAAACTACTGCAGATAAAATGTTTTTAAGAAATATGTGTATGCTTGCGAATTTCAGAACCTAGTTGCAGAATGTTGAAACTTTCTTCAGCAAAAGAAATTATAAATTTTCTGAGGAGACTCAAAGATGTCTAAGTTCACAAAACTCTGTCTACCAAGAATATTTCGAAGATGCTTAGCGCATTTACAAACAATTAGTTAGGAGTTCTAAAAAATACCTAATGCAGGACTTTTTAACTAGTTTTATCTGCAGATCTATTGATTACACTTTATACACCCGTTGGTATAACTCCACAAAACCACCAGATAGTTGGTAAAAACCCGTAAGATAAAGATGATGAAGTTTCTAAAGCTGTCACGTTGAAAGGGATAGCAATAAAATCTCTTATCAGACGGAACATGCGAGCATTTATCGGATGATCACATTCGAGGTCCTGGAATCATTTCAAATTCCGATAACAAATATCGGTCAACTAGTCAAATACAGTGAGGGAGGGAAAGTCACCAAACTAAAAGCAAAGATGAACTAGAAAAAATCTCAGATATTTACAGGAGAGTAATTTCTGACTTGTTTAAATATATACAATAAATATTAGTTTAACAGGAAACATTTACCTGCAGTGATAAGAAGGAAAATGTCATGAGTGCACATTAACATTACAAATATCATAATCCTGAATAACAGCAGTTGTTTAGTCTTGGGGAATGAAACGAATTCAAACGGTGCTATTGTTATTCATCTCTATAAGAAATGCTCTTTGTAACTACTGATTCAAGGTAGGTGGGACGAACTTCATTCTAATCACATAATATAAATCCATATTTAAAACCCACACCAAATTCCTCACTAACAAGGTACTCACTCAGAAAGCACTTGGAAAAAAATAAGAGAGAAAGCATGCTAAAGAATAGAACATTGTACAATGTTTGAAATAAATTATGTAAAAAAATGGAAAAATATGTAAGAGGTTAGGCAATGTCTATATCACAAGTGTTTAAAAGATGTTTCGAAAAGTGGTGGGATAACATACAGTTCTGAGTAAAGTTATAAAATTGACTTTACATAATTAGATTAAAAACTGCATATGGCAGTACTTCCTACCAGTCGAGTCTATCTCAATGGAAGAAAAGCCTGGCTGCAATACATTACGTTGGGCAGTAAATTCTACTCGAAATATATTCCAGTAAATAATACTAGATCACTGTTTGCCATATAAAGTAAACAATCGTATGTGAAACTTCGAACCAAAACATCATCACTTTAGTCATAATGTATTTTACTCTGTGGATAACTAGAAGTTATATATATATATATGTTGAGCGACAAATCTTCTTGAAGAAAAAAATCGCAAAAGCAGCTTGTTGGCCAATATTTTGTCGAGTTATTCTCTCAGTCTGTAGGCTGATCAAATTAACGTCTGGATGCACATAGGCAAGTGGACTATATACCTGAATATTTTTAGCTGCCAAATGTTTACTAAAACACATTAGACTTAATTGACCGCAAATCTTGTCTTTTCTAAAACGATTAATAACTGTAACTCACGTGATTAATTCGCAACCGCATAGATCAAGAAATTTCAAATAATGACACACTCCTGATATATACTGTATCGCCATATCTGTAAGCTGACAGATAGAGGATGAAAGGATTAAAGGCATTTATCATCAATATACCTGAGTACATCCAGCCAAGTTTAAACCGACAATATATCGACAACAAAATGCTAATGTTTTAACTCCGTTGTTTGTCAATTTCTAAAATTATGATTAGTACAATTATGTTTTGATATTATTGTGTAAATATTTATTTACATTACAGAATGATAGATCAATATATTCTAAGTTGATACCAAGATGAGCAAACTTCTGTAATCCTAAATCTGTGATACCAGTGCATTTGGAAACTTTGAGTTCATGGAGTTTAGGTAATGATCCAAGAGCAGATAAACCCTGAATGAATGCAAAATACAGTAAAGAAAAATAAATGTCAACCATACTACAGTAGGTTTTCGAAATACTCAGGCTAACTACTAAAGTATATAAGGTAGTGTATTCAGTAATAGTAATGTGACTATAGCTATATTTTCCGCTCATCTATACTTTAATTTGGGTGTTTGTAGGAATTTAAGGACTTTTCCAGGCTGGTATTCACCATGGACTGACATCAGACGGAGTAACATCGGAAACCTAAAAGCAATGAACAGCTGTTTCGTCCTAGTATGAAACTTCTCAGCAGTGCGCAACCGCGACCCTGCTGAGGATCATTTCGCCACCCTTTGCTATAGTAGGAGTTGATAAAGTATACAAATACACAAAGTTATTGGACTAAGAAGACAAATAAATGGGACTAAAATGGCTACATCTGCTCTTTGAGGAATGGCTTTGAGTTGTGTATCTTAAAGTATGTCATTTAACTGACATGTAGAATGTAAATGTGGATTGCCGCTAACTTTTAGTTAGCCGAATAGGAGTAAAATGAACAATCTTTACTTTTAAACATGCTGGAAACTCACCCGATCACCAAGTTTGGTGGCATTCAAGTTAATTTGCCATAGTTGTTGGAACTGATTTAATAATTCAAAAGCTCCATCAGAAATAAGTGGACATGACGCCAAACTCAAGTAGGCTAAACTAGGTAGTCTGTAATAAAGTAAGGACAAAAATTCATTCAGCCGTGTTTAACATTAGAAACGTCCCAATCGCAAAAACGACCAGTTTATGCTTTTGGAAAGCCTGTTTCATGGCATGATATCTATTCGTAGTCTGTGACTTTTGTCTGAGATATCCAGGCAAACATTTTTTTTCTGCTTGAAGTTCATGCAACTACTGGAATCGATTGTTGACGAGTTTTAGTCATATGACAAAAAACCAGCCACAGGGGCGCGGACAAATCAGCAAACAACCTCAGTCTTGTCTGATAATTAGCATTTCCTAGTGAGTTGTAATCTTACTTTCTCACCCTATGTTTTCTATCCCTTTTGACCATGTTATTCTCATTTGTTTTTCTGTCACCTCGTAGGAACGTATTTTGATTTGCTCAAATGAAATGTGGTAACATGGACTGCTCCATAATAATGTCTACCATTATAGTGGTAACAGCTTACTAGTTTTTTTCTAAAAAGGGTTATTAGGTGTTATAGTGTGCACTAAGGGTGGCCAGATCCTTATGAGGAGCACTAATTCCATGAAGCTTTTCATAACCAACCACTTTGCTGTGAAGTTTCAAGAAAAAGCACGTTAACCTACGTGTATACACCACATTGGTTGAACAGACGAAACCAACAGGATATGGCCTGCTAGAAAGGCCTTGAAATAGTCAAGACCACTATAAATATATAAAACAGTCCCGCTTATACATATTTCGACATTGTAATACACTCTCTCTTTTCTTAACACCTCTATTTACTGATGAACTCAGCGACCATCAAGAGTGGAGTCTGAAGGTCATTGTTCAAGCGCTCACTGTAATATATATATATATATATATATATATATATATATATATATATATAATTATAATACAATATAATATAAATATAATATAATATATTATAATATAATACTCAACTCGGAAAGAAATATGATATAAGCCCGCCAAAAAACTAAATACTGTTACATACCTCGTTGCAAAACAACAGCGAAATAAAACTGAAAAACTATTTTATTCACTTTGATAACTGTAAACTTGACTCTAGAAGTAAGAACCACAGATAGAAAGATGTACGTAGAAATATTGTCTACAGACATATCGCAAGCAACAAGTCAGTACGAGATTCTTTGACAAAACAATTAGATAGTGAGCAACTTTGTTATGCAGTGACTTCATTCAAGGACAAAATATTATGTTGATTAAACCGTCCTTGATCATTTTCCTGATTTCCATCTCAAAAGCGAAATTACCTACCTTCTTTTATATATTATGCAGTTCTAATTACGTTTTTATAAGCCAAAGAAAAGGAGGTTTACTTGTTGACAGAGAGATACATAGATCTTATGAAGATATTTTTCTGCTGTAATATGATTTTTTATTGCTCCACTTTGTCTCCATATGCTACTGTCAGTTTGGCACAAAAGCTTAACAAGTTTTGAGCTTCCATAATTTTAAGTCAGAAATTTTAGGAATAGTAAGTTTGACTTAGAGCGTTTTCTGTCCTATATAATATTCAACTAGACTGTAAAGTCATGCTGTAATTTATTTCGTGGTGGCTGGTAGCGAAATCTAAGACGAGCGCTTCTTCCTACTTGTTGCTCGTCAGCTGGATAAACCTACACCCTGGTGAGTGATGGCACTTCTACTGACACTCGAAATCCATACCTATAGCTTCGAAAGCAAAATATTATTCACTGGGTTAAAGAGACACGAGAGTAACAACTTATGTAACAGATATTAATTTTTTTTTTTCGAATACAAGTAAAAAAATAGTGATAATAACAGACTGTAAGATTCTCATTTATTCTGTGATAAGAAGTTTTACGAATATCAGCCAACAAAATGGATAAAACGACAGTTTAGCAACTAAATACTGGTTACTGCAATCAGCAGTATTGCATTGATTACTACCAGCATTTTTGTGAAGTAAATTAGGAAGATTTTTCTACAGTAAACCAATGACCATCACGACACTTGCTGGTGAAAGCAATAAAGTTTGAAATGATAATATTACCAGTAATTGATTACAAGTGATGCGATCATAAAAATCTAAAGTTGAATTCATCTTACTTGCCATTCATTGAATTAATCGCTTTATCTGTCAGCTTATTACATCGTGTTAAATACAATTCTCGTAAACAGTTTGCATACTGACCATCAGTTAGCAACTTTATAGCATGATCTGTGAGACTTTCGCATCCAGTTAAGTTTAATATTGTTAAGTGCGGCAGATATATCAAGTACTGAAGTAGAATATCAGACATCTTTAAGCGGTAAAGGAAATTACAATAAGTGAATCAGTATTGAGAATGCGACGCCACTATAATAAATGATAAAACAATGCTTAGTACTCATGCTTACATGGCTATATCTAAACTTTTGCAAAATAATCATAATTAACCATTTTTTTCTGAAGTTTACGGTCTTCTTGAACCTTTAAACAACTATTATTATCAGCGTAAATGCCTACAATTCTTTGAGCACTCATAGAGTTAGTTTCTAATTGCATGTTTTAATACTTGTCTAAAATGTATAAAATAATTCCAGCAACTGGCTTTCCCTTAAAGGCACCAATAGTGCTAGTAAGACAATTAAATGAATGAACTTAAGGTGTATTAATCTGGATGTTTGAATGAAACAAGGCTATCATTTTCGCAGTATCAAGTCTTAGAAATGCTTTCATTCTAAGGGTTTCTAGTTTCTGTCATCAAACAAACCTAATAAACACATTGTTTAGGCAATTAACATTTTGAAGTGATGGCTGTAATTTAAGATTTTCTCATAAATTCTGTTGTCTTCATTACTTAGTTCATACACAAATAATTTTCTTATTTGACTAGTTTCTAATATGAATACAATTTATAATGTGGTCTTTTCTTTCGAACATCTATGAGAACCAGTGTGATTGTTTGAATGCATGATCGTTTGTCATAAAGAATACAAATATTAAAATCCTTGAATAAGCTGGAAAAATTAGTGAATACAAGTACAGATGTGTAGCTAAAATGTTATTTAACCTAAGGAACGTGTACTAGAAGTGATTCTACACACAGAGATTATAAATTGTATGTTATGAACTATTACACTGAAACATAATACAATTAAATTTGCTTCTATTTTAGAAGAGTGATGCCATAAAGTCAAATTATGTATAGCAATTATGATAGCTATCAGAAATTTTGCTGATTTTCTTTGAAATTAATCTTCAAATAACATACTAAATGATTCAATAATTTTCTTTGAATGGTCTTCGGGTATACTAAGTATTGACTAACATTTTTTTATCATACATAAAATTCTACTCTCCTTATTCTCAGAGTTATTCCTTAAATTAACGACGAGATATCATTCTCATTGTAAACTACTTGCAATTATAATAAGACATTAAATATTGGGTTATATTTACGGTAAAAACAAAAACAAAAATTGACGTTGAATTATAGTTAACCAAGTAGGTTTTTAGTACTAGAGTTGGGTAATATGTCACCTAAGTTTAGCTTAGCGCAGAATTAATTTTTTCTACTTCTAACTTACAGCATAACCTTTCCAAATAACTAATTGTAAAGTGACGAACCTATGTACTTTCAAGTAGCCAAGTCATTATTTCATTTTTCAATTTTTCAACAGGAGATTCTACACTCTCATACACGGTATACGTTTGAGTTAAAGTTTCGAACATGCTTTACCTATTCGAGTAAGATTTCATTCGTTTGATGGAGAATCATACGTTAAGGCATATCCTACTATACAAATATTAAGTTTTACAGCCTTTTAACAAGTTTTGGTAAACTATAACATAACAAAAATCATATGCGCCACTGTAGAAATCTAACTTGGGAAAGTTTTTTAATTATGAATATATTTTGCGTATGTTTCAAATGAAATTCTCTGTATGCCTAAAGTTCTATTTTTGTCAACCATAAAAAATGCTCTACAACCTCTTTTTATACATCTGAAAAACCTAGGCGATGTTTGTTTAAGATTTGAAAATTACTAGTTTATATTGCTCACTTTTGGACAGTTTATAAACGAAAGTTCACGTAAGTTTACACCTTCATTTACAAGTAAGGTGGAGCTACGACTTGATGTACGATGAGTTTTACTACCAGAATATCTTCTTGATGAAATATCTTTCGGCATAATGACGACCATTCCAGATCCATGACATCCATTCAGATTAGAAACCAGAAACCTTTTTAGATGCTTACCGCATATTGATTGTAGACCTTGGTCGGTGATAAGATTACCAGTATACATGAATGAATTTGTCTTCGCTTCATCACTTTGTTTCGTGGACAGTTCAACGCACGTTATAGGACGACATTTTTTCTGTTTTACTTGTAAAGTCGAACCAACAGGAGCTGATTTTTCCGGATGACTATATAATTTTGGAATAGGTTTCGAATCCGTCAAGGTTATACTTTGATTAATGACCATTTCCACAGTTTGAATTACAGGACAGTTGGAACCTAAAACCTGTGAAGCCATGAAAAATAAATGAAAAAAACATATCAAAATAATTATCGTATTGTTTGATATTACGTGAACCTGGTTGTGTTACCGGTTTAGCCAAAGAAACCAACTGACAGTCATTTCTATTAAGCTTAGTTTTATATGCATTTCGACAGTGTATCGTTATTATCTTCAAGTTATTTCTCATTTCCGCACGTTTCTAGAACTCAGAAGGAATATAAGAAACTTTTGAAGCATGAACAAGACTAAATTGCATTAACCGTGAACAGTGTGAAGACAGTAGGTCTTATAATCTCGGCCAAAGGATTGTAAATGATTTTTCCAGAGCGATAATACAGTGTTATCATTGTGGCTATAAGAAAAAGCCGCGACTTGGCATACTGGTGCCACTAGTTTTGGATAATGACTGGGGATGGAATGAAAAATTGGGTCTCGATAGGATTTCATTTCGTCTTCAGTTATCCATCACCCAGTATCAATCATACCAATCTTCCCAACCACGGCTATCTCAGACATTCGCATCAATAATCGACCGGGTCGCTTCTCCCCGCTGATTCAGCTATGTTTTGATTGAGACTCGAAGGTTTAGTTGGGGAGCTAGTGTGAATATAACAAAAGGTTGACAATGCATGACGGATTCACACAGCAGACGCTTGAAACCATAAGTGACTGAAGTAAAATTAAGACGTGGTTTGCAGCTGAGTCTAGTAACTAAGTTAATGCAATTTTAGTTTTTAAAAACCATACGATACTACTCATCTTGATATAAAACACAACAGTTCAGTGAAGTTATATGTGCGTAAGACAACAGAATATTGGATAGAATTAAGGACAGACAGAAAAAGTCATGATATAGTAGTGAATCATGATGGCACATTCAGGAAAGACTATAAGATGGTAATAAATTGTCACAATTATATACGTAATTCAACTGAAGTTTCTAGAATAAAAACGACAGCGGAAGCGACGAAAATACCAAATGACTTAACATTATAAGATTATGTAAGTAGATCGTACGATATATAAGTTGCTAAACAATGCATGCATAATGTCGTGACTTAAGCTCAGTTAGTTGAAGAGCTTTTATGTGAACGAATTTGTGTCAACAAAAGACTATGCAACTACATAATAGTAAAAGAATAAAACACAAAGAAAATAGAGGATGATTTGACCATGTGACAGTCAAGAATAGGTCAACAAGGCAGAAAGAAGTTAACTGTATCCTTGACTGAGCACATAAATCAGGTTTAAGACGCTTAGTGTTGACAGCCTCAACGAACTTGAGGAGAGTTGAGCTTCTTTGTTTGCTTATTATCTTGATGGAACCTATGACATCTGCCTGTTTGCCATTGGCAATCACAGTCTGAGTGCCTGGCATCCTACCTACCAACCTACACACTCGCTCAGAGATAAGCTTTGTCTGCATATGTATGTATACAGTTTTCCCTTCTTATTTTGACTGCGTCATCTCTTTGTTGGTTACTTACTGAGTGGTAATAAATCAACCTAAAAATTTTTTCCAGTTTTTTCGTGTAATTACATAGCCTACGAGCTGTTTTACAACACCTTCTTTTACACTATGATCTACTTGTTGTCTACCGCTCTCCATAGCTCCAGAATTTTCTATCCTATTAGATATGACTTGCCACTGATTTTGATTAAGACTTGGGATTATTAACACTATGTTTCCTTGACTCAGTCACTACCTTGTTGTCAATCCTGAAATTCAAATCATTTATTTTTACATGTCTAAAGCATGTTGTGTCATAAGTGTCAATACTAATGCTTCATTCCAATTGCAGACTGTTTGCAGCTGGTGAAAAGCCGTGAAACACAGTGAGCTCATTCTCTTCTGCAAATTTCTTTTTAATTGCGTTGTTCAAATTAACCAAGCGAACTAAATGTCTGGAAAGTAAAACTGCTGTAACTTAAGTCCAGTACTTTAATCACCTTCTTTCGTGACATGTACCGCTTGTCATTCTAACGTAGATCACATAGTATGCATGACGAAAATGGACGGTGAAATTAGAATATTTTATACATCTATATGGATATATGTATTTGTATTAATAAATACGCAATGGATTTATAAGCATAAAAAAGTGTGTTTACCAAGACATCACTGTCTGAAATCCATAGGATGTCATTCAGTATCCAATGCTCCACATGTTTCAAACTTTTTATGATAGTTTGTAAACCAAGTGATGTAACCTAGTTTAATAAGGGGGAATTGGAGTGTAAGTAACGTTCATTAGAATGTAATTTGTTTTAAGTGCACTCACGATGAACACTTATAAGTTACTTGTAAAAAATAAACCCTTTAAGTAGTCGTTCCATGTTACTTTTACATTCATTACTATGAACTAACGAAAATATATTGAATTGGACATCAAAACACACGATTACAGTTTCTTGTGATGCAGCAAAAGTTAAAACTCTGTTCCGTTACACATAAAAGATGTAAAGCTTGTGACATTTTAGTCCTTTCGCGAACACAATAAATGTCATAAGGGAGACTGAAATGCAAAATATTGAAACGTACAGTTCGAGTGCATGTTTCACACATCAATCTTATCAGAAGACTTATCATTTATTATTATTATGCACAGTGTATAGAAGAGCATCCTACGATGGATGAACAATGATACTATCTCATTACTGGGTTTGTGTTGTTCTAATTAGTATTTCTACTCATGACCAAGTGCACATTGTCCCTTCACTACTAACATGCCCCACTATCTATGCACTGAACAGAAAGCTTCTTCTATAATCTGTGGATACAACTTGTGCATAAGGATAGGGATTAAGTAAATATGCCATCGGTAACATTTATATATTGCATAAAATAACATTTAACTAGATTCAGTGAAGAAGAACATTCAGTAACGTATGCAATACGATTTTACAACACCCTCGTATTGATCACCTACTCAAACTATTCAAAATTGCACACGCTTTTATTGTGAATGACAAATAAAGTACGATACATACTACTTTTCAGCTCAGATACAAAAGTTAAATTGGAAGTTAGTTTCAGCAGATAAAATATATGAGAATGAACTACAGTTCTAAACTTAATTTAACACTAACATAGTGCATAAATGACAAAATTAATTCGTAGACGTTTGTAAATAAAATAATATTATAGTTTATTGTAATGGTATTTTTGCCACACATTGACAGCTACAAGCCAAACTTGCATCAGTCAAACAAAAGATGGAATGCATACATCGTAGATGCAAAGACCGAAGATTTGAAGAAGGAAGTACCTAAAGACATAACTTTCGTCCGCGAAAGCTGGTGTGACAAACGAACTTTTCTGGACATTTCTCATTCAAATTGAACAGAATTATGAGCCACACAAATCGTTTACAAAGTAAGCACATTTCGTTAATTAGTGAAGCTTGTTAATAAAATAATGTGAATTTCTGAGTTTCCGTTCTAAATGATATCTGCTCATAACAGCAAGAGATTTCTAGAAGTAGTTCGTTTAGAGAAACGAATGAAGATTAATCATTTAGTCTACTGGTTGCGCACTGCTGAGAGGTCCCACAATAGGACGAAACAAGTGCCCAGTTCTCACAGGTTTTCACTGTTCCTCCAATTAGTGTCAGTTCATGATGTATATCAACTTGAAATCAATAAATCCCCACAATCTCTCGGATTAATTTGATCTAGTGCTCATTGGTGACTAGCTTCGAGAGGTTATTCCTGGAGTTTCAGTGTGAAGTCGTGACCGGTGGGGCCAACCTGGTTACCGGGAGGACAAAAACTCAACGATGACATTGACTGATGGTTGCGCTATGTCGTGAACTGACAGAAGTCGGAAATATAGATCACTGGTTTGTGACCCAGTTGCTTGGTGGTAATGTGCTGGTCACGGAACCTGAAGGTACGCACTGCCTAAGAGTCCTATGCTTCGACGAAACAGCTGTCCACTCCCGTCAGATCTTCAATGTTCCTTCGACTGCTGTCAATCCATGATGAATGCTAACTTGAAATCAATGAATCTCCAAACACTAGCCCCTAAATTAAATAATAAATAATGATAAAAAATTTAAGGTTGAGAAATCCTGTCTTGGCAATATAACGATAGGAAGATCAGAGTTGCATAGAACTCCATACGTTCTTCAGCTGTTCAACCAAATCGTGTCAAGAAGTGTTAGCGTTCTTACAATGACTATCATCAAACAGGAACAGGCTGTTTAAGATGTTACTTTTTGACTCAGAATATAGAAAAGTTAAATAAATAAGTCTTTCATTTATTTTTGCTACCTCATATATGTTATCTTATGCCTTTTTTGCTTCCTATTTATGTCTTGAAAACACGTTTTACTAGCTTTGCACTTTTAATAACTTGCAGCTGCTTGAACTTACAGCCATACTAGTGCCTGTCCATCGACTTAAATATCAAAAACAACGAAAGTCTAATTGCTTAAAAGCCAAACTAGACACTTAAATTATATCGCCTTTGAGGACAAACTAATCATTACACATAAACGGATCATACATGTGAAGGTAATCTTTAATTTTTATTCATACAGATCACAGTATTCTTACTTGAGCACAACCAGATAAATCCAAATATTTCAATGATTTAAAGCATTCCAGTTGACTAAAATAAGCTGAACACACTTCCGTTAAATGTGTACAGTACGCCAAACTCAAATATTGTAACATCTTCGTACTGTTTTTATAAAATAGAATAAAGTAGAATTCTCACTATTAAGTTTAGAAAACATTCAGTGACACCGGTTCCAGTTAAAGGACGTTAGATGTTACAGGCTGATAGACAATAAAAAAAGTGTACACCTACATAGGCTGTCGAATAATGATCACAGTGTAGCAACTTTCAAAAAGTTTAACTTCTTCATCCCTAAGGAATCTGAGAAGTTTAATGGTTAGAATTAGGACTGAGTATATCAAGCAACTCAATGGTAGTTCCAATTCCTCCTCAATATCTCATTAAAATTTACACAATTACTTTATTTCCCCTTTTCAAATCTGCTTTACATTCTCTCTCTTGCTCCCTTATTTCACTCACATAGTCCTTTTCTTGGTATAGGACCCTTCAACACTATAATATTTACCTGACCACTGATGTACATTTTTCATATTTACTTCCTCCAAGCTGCCATTTGCTACTTATTGTTCTTCGTTACTGGTACACCGTATGAATTGAAATAAGGTTTGAAGGTCTCAGTTTATTTGTGAATTTCGATCAGAATCGAATATTTCGGAGAGGTTTTAATCACTCATCTATACGAGATAATAAAAAACACATTTCAAACAAAAAAGCTTTGAACAGCACTTCATATGCACGACTCTATATGGAGTCTAAATTATTGTTGTACACGGATGTTAGTGTTTCAACGATTGAAAAGCTTTTTATGGTTTTATTACGAACCTTATTCTCTTATAAAAATAAGCTCTGGTGTAATCACATTGTGTTTAAATAATTAATACAAGATTTTTTGCCGGATAAACCACAGCTTCATCACAATATTCTATAAAACGCTCATAAAACCATATTTGAGTTTGACAAAGAAATTGTGTTTATATTAAAAGATATTTTTTACAGTAATTACATCAGACTGATTCAAAATCTTCCATGAGATTCATAAAAGCTACGGTGTGCATATTTGTAACTTTATACTCTAAACTAATTAGCTCGAAAGCTATGTTGCCGGTGAGTCCCACATATGAATGGTTTTTATGTGAGAAACTGCATTAAACCAAGCATTTGGTCTTTTGTTGTTTATCTACATTAACTCTATTCTAGATTCAGAATGCAAATACAGGTAACTCCCAATACACACTGGTAAAAAGATAACTAAGTACTCACTTTGCTAAGTGACGAATAGCATCGTCAGTTATTTGAGTATATGATAAATTTAAGTAAAGAAGTAGACAGCATTCTGTCGAAATCAAACGAATTGCGTCATTCTAAAATGAGAACAAAGTGTGCTAGTTAATTCTTGATGAGTAGTTAAAATATATGTTTAACAAGTTTTCAAATGAATAAAATTGCCTAGAACTGAACTTCAGTAGCTAAAGGCTATCGACGGCATATTATGTTATTTAAATCCATAATATAACATATACGGTTGGATTGTAGTTGAATAAATAAAAGTATTCCTTCGGAAATTCATGATACATTTGGCCTGTTCTTAAAGAAATATAGATCTATTTTACTTCTTAAATTTATATTCTGACAATAAAAGACAATCAGACATACAATGTGAATAAGGTAGCCAGTAGAGTTTGAATGAAATGACACCGTTAACATCCATTGCAAAATATGGGGATAATATTTTTTAAAATTTCTGTAGCTTGATATATTATAAACAAAGATTATATTCAGTTAACATTATTTGATATGCAATTAAATTAGAAAGACATTCGAAACTGCTAAACATTTACACTTATTCTCACCATAAAAATTATTTAACTAATAATATCCCCTTCATACCATAATTTCCCCACAAGTACATTCGAAAAAATTAATTCCACAAAGAATAGTTTCAAACATACAGTATTAAAAACGCATTCAGTTGGTGCAAATTACTATTTATAGAAGTTGGTACTGAGTCAGTGAACGATGAACTTCAATGGATTTCATTATATCTGGTTGGGAATATTGCGTTATTGCAAACCCTTAAACCAAAGTCACTAGTTACTGTGAAATTCATACAAACGTAGGAAGCTTCTGATTTGGGTTATTTTGTTGTAGTATTTTTCTGAATCTTCCTAACAATTTATACTTGGAAGAAGACAGTTTTTTAGTACTTCTCGATAACGTTTTATTTTACGACATCTTGTGTCAAGATCAACTTACTTACCGTGATTCCAATACATTTAGTTAAATTTATATCCTGCAGATTGGCACAACTAACTAAAGCCCGAAATGAATTTATTGTAGGCAGATGAGTACAGCGCAAATTGATATGACGTAAATATGCTCTGCGCTTTCGGGTCAGTTTGACCAATATTTCATCTGTTAATCTGCTGAATAAAATTAAGTTTGAATTCAATGTAAGAATACAACATCAACAGATTACCAATTATAAACATACATAATTAGATTTACCTTCATAATTTTCAATTCTTTTTCAAACAAATTCATATAACCTACACCTGATTTCATAAACAACACCACCTTCAACATCTACAAATCGTTGTATTTTTACGACACACTTTACTTTAGTCGACTATCGTTTTAGATTTTAGTTGTAAGCGGTTTTCAGAAATCAAGCTTCTACTGTTTTTATTGAACTCAACGTAGAGAAATGCTTTTGGTGTCAAGTAGTAACAGGCAATTGACCGGATTTTCTTAGTATAGAAAAATTCAAAACACAGTTTTCATTCTTCCCCAACAAATGATAAATTTACTGAATGTCATTCTGCATCAGAAGGTCATATTTCTGGTTTGAATAAACTGATAGTAAGGTTCCTGACTATAGTGTACATCGGCATACACCCCAGACCGATTAAGAGTTTAAATTCCTGCTAGAGATTTACTTTTAGCTGTTCAAGTTAGACTTTACTGACCATAATCTAAGAATCTGTTGGCACACTGAAGAAGTATGATTCAGTATTTCTGTTTTTCATAGATTTTTCTAGAACTAACATGTGGTATATTCATGTTCTAAAATCATTCTATGAAATGTCGAGTAGCTTCTTTCGAGCTACCGACTATAATGCTCCATCCACATAATGGTAAAAACGTAATAAGGGTTGTTAATTAAGCAAAACACCAACTGACATGAAAATCTTTTTGAAGCGATGGATTTTAACAAACAGTTAATGTTTATTTCAATCAGTAAGTTCAGGTATCACGTTTTAAGAAAACTCACCTTCCACTAAAACACGACAAGTCCAAACGATTTTTCTTATCTAATTCACTTACTGCAGACATCCAGTAACGGGATACACAGGCAGCTCGAGCTAAATCTATGGGTGTCAAGTATTCAAAAATCTAAATAGAAAAAGTAGGAAAACTTGAGAAAGCATAGATTGTTTTTTTTAGTTACCACTGATTTTATTGCTTCTTTTGACACAAGGAATGGAAAGGAAAAAAATTAGCAGTAGTTTCAATATAATTCGGAATGAGCTATATTGAGTCCTGTTAGCCACTTGCTGAAAACTTAGTTAAAATTCCAAGGACTGTATCAGAAAATCTCCTATTCATTTTGAAACTGATAATCATCCTACAAAGTAAAAAATTCAGTAGACGCAAAAGGATAAATCAGCTGCATAACTATGTAGTTTGATGAACAGGTATTCAGCAGGAAATTTCCTTTCTAGAAGTTTTGAAATGAATGCTGAGAGATGTAGAAGGTCTACACTAACTGAAAATCAATAGTGTGGTGGTAATAATTTTCAATGATCCATCGATAGCTGGATGAGAATATGTTGTAAAAAAGTTTATTAGTTCAACAACCATGGCTGACACTACTTTCTTCACAGTATTAAAAACTGTCGCTGATTAATTACGCTTGTTGGGATGAGCTTGTGTGAAAAAAAGTTCAGTAAATAATTAAATCCATCCAGCTTGCCATTTAACGCATAATCTAACCGATCAGCTCACTGTTTCTTACTAAACAGCGTAACTGTAATGCTCAGTAAGAGGTAAAGGCAAGAATTCCGGTAAATATGTCTGTCAGCCTCATTTAAGTGCTTATCACTTTCTCCCGCAAATACCAAGAAAAACAATCACCTGAAGGTGATCTTCAAGGGTATTTTCAATTTTATCCAAGTGATTTGAAATAGAAAGATAAAGATCAGCAAACAGGACTTTATTTGTAACTTCCCACTACACCTGCACAGTTATATGGTTGTTTAAGGATTTCATGAAAAGTGCCAACAAAGGTCAGATGTTTTTGTCAGTTGACGATAAAACGTATTGAATTGTGAACCGGAAGATAAAGAGTACGTAATGCAGATTTTTGCGTTATACTTTGATGAGACATTGAAACCTACTTTTGACAATAATCTTAATTCTTCCTACATGTGAAAGTGGACTTCATCTTCTTAGAAATTTATGAAATAGATTTGAATAAAATATCAGCTTCTATATGCAGCTGGTTGCAGATCCAAACTAATGAAAGTTTTTTAAAATGATGAGGAGTAAGTCTGTCGCCTTCACTCAATTCTTGAAGTTCACAAACTTTTGGATCCAACTATTATTCATATTATGACTTAAGTCCTTATGACGTTTGTTATGATATTCTCAAAATGTAATGAATTTAAAATGAAATGATGATTGGTAGCTTCCTACTTGACTCACAACATAGACAATCACCTTAACAGTAATAATCCATTTATTCTAGACAGTGTTTCTGACATAGGATGAAATTAACACTGTATAGTATTTCAGAAAATTTACTCTTAGCACAATATTTTCAAATGAAGTAATTATGATATCTAAATAGTGTAAGCTATAACAGTGAGATAAGCAATAACATATAACGACCAGTTGGTGTTAGGTTATCGTCATGTTTGGGTTTGAATGAATCGAAAGTCGTTCGTCAATTTGGTCATAAAGGCTCATTTACCCAGAACGAAAATCAATAATTCCAGCTAACTGTTGCTGTAATAATTGTACGATGTATTATCGTTCCGTCAAGGAACAACTACCATTTATCATGATCTCTTCTCATAATTTTAGTGTTAACTTGCTAAATAATGAATTGAAAACATTTTTAAAATGCACGAGGATACGTATTACGATTTTTGATAGTTGAATGAGTAAAACAAGCTCAAAAAGGGGCTGCCACACTGTATATTTGTTTGAAGGTCTAAAATAATTTCATTACTACGTAAATATCCGATAAAAAGATGTCTGTAACATTTAGTAAACTTTTTACCGGTTATTTTACTACAGAATAAAAACCCGGTTGAAATGCATACTTGTTTATATCTCTTTTTTGACTGGTACAATAAACAACAGGGGACAAAACATACTTTATCCTTTATCGTATCAGGTAGTTCAGCTAGTCGGTCATGGTAATTCTCCGATTCACTTAGTTTACCGCCTAAAACAAATAATTGACTTTCAGACTCTGAATCTGACTTCTCTCCAGAATCATGAGTACCAGCAAGCATTTTCTACAACAGAAATGAATATTTATGTGAACAAAGAATATGTGGTCAGAAGGATATTGTTTTATTTCGATCAGATAAGAATAAAATATTGTAAACTTCGGAAAATGGAGTTGTTCAAGTGACTCAACGATTAGATAACTAGTTTGTTTTAACCTCAATTTCATATCTTAGGATATGATTATTTGTTCTAGATAACAACATGTAAAGTTAAACCGTTTCTAAATGAGAATAATGATTGTCATTTGGTGCATATGGTATGTTTTATCTTTTGATGTGAGAACAAACATTAAAAGTGGTTGGTGATGGTACAAGCAAGCCCTGCCGAATGATGTTGATAAAGTATATTCGCATAAATTTAATTAACAGTAACACAATAGTGGTAGTATTTTCTATTGTGAAGTTAAATCAGGAATAAGTGAGCGTATAAGAAAGTTCGGATTTTGGATTTTGGAACTTCATTACGCCTGTATCCCAAATTCTACTCTCACCATGTATACTGAACACTTAAGCTTCGTTGAATTAGGTTCTACACACACTTCAAATCAGTAGCTGTCGATCTTACTTAACGTAGTTGACTTAAATGACTGCAGTATTTACACTGAAGGAATATTCACCAGATTATCTACAAAATCAACAAAATAACTTTACGTCAACCCATATAAATCACGTACAACACCTGGAATTGAGGTGGTTCACTTAGTAATGAAAAGCGAAGCAAAATTACCGCAAAAATTAAAAATTAATATCGCCTACAAACCATACCGTAAATCCTAGGGAAATAAAATACGTTTTGGTTGTTCCTAATAGTGTCACTGAAAATATCAGTGAACTGACAAATGAAATTTTTAGTTTTTTCATTGAAAATTCCCTCCTCCTCTTTGATCTTAGGCTTTTCTGAGAACAAGTACCTTTTTTTATCTTAGGTAGTTGTAGAAAAAAGTGTTGGCTGATTCCCATTTAGTCACATAAATTTATGATGTTTATCGCTAGTGAACTAAATTGTAAACATAACCATAATTTATCATTTTGACCATCTGAAATAACCGTAGTTTGGCAGACTAGTATTGATACTGGGTGACGATTGAAGGTTAAATGGAAATATGAACCGTGGCCAGATTTGAACTAGCTACATCCAAGTTCAAACCTGTAACTCAGTGGTCGGTGGTTGGAATACGATGGCGGTCTAAATTTTAATTTCGCCTTCAATCATCGGCAAGTATCAATACTAGTCTGCCAAACTACGGCTATCCCAGGTGGTCAAAATGATAATTAATATCATGTTTCACCTCTCTTATTCACTTGGATTTGGATTGAAATGAGAAATCGTGACTAGCCAGCCAGTGGGAATACGATCAGCCGGTAGTAACATGTCAGTAATTCACATGGTGGTCAGGCAAAAGCTTTGGTGATTAAAATGAAATAAAAATTTGGTCAGCAGTCGGGTTTCTTAGATTACTTGACACTGCATAAGCCTGGAAACCCTGTGGTTGCTGATTCCAATCCGGTGGTGGTTCAAATTCTCACTTCACCTTCATCACCCATTATAATTGTAAATGTATTCTTCAAGGTAAACACATAAATGTCTAACTCACTGAAAAGTAATCCCTTGTTTTCCGTGCTTCTGCTACAGTCCTGCGCCAGGCTTTAAAGTACAGCATTGTCATGATGAATACTTTGATGTGAGATATTAAAGATTGCGCCACTGAAAATTTTAACAATTATCACTGCTGAGAATATGATTAGGTGAAAAATTGTATAAATTTCATGAAAATGAAAACACGTTTGTGAATGAAAGTTAAAAATGAACATAACACATAACTTAAAGCCTACTTGAGTTCTTAAACAAATACTTTTCAAAAGAATTTCACTCTCTGAGTTAGTTTTATTAGGTTACCACTAGCAATTGCCGTATAATTGAATTGCCTAAATGTGGATTACAAACAATTTTAAAATCGATTCACAGATGACTATTACACCCGTCTACTTTCTAAACTCCTAATTGACATTTTTCACTCAGCATTCATCCTCCTCTTAGATAACACTAATTAAAAGGGATCAGGTTTGTACTGGACAATTTTTCGATTAATTCACCAGCCTTCCTAGTTCACATATATTGCATTCAAAAAAAACTAGTTAGGCAGCTGGTATGGTCAAAGATAACCAGATCTATTTAATATCACAGTACGTAAATGTTACCCATTTCAAACAAGTAGACGAAGGCAGCATCATAATGGAAAAAATAAATACCATACAGCAGCAGTGAGATTCAGTCAACATTTAAGTTTGTCATGCCAACCAGTAGACCCAGGGATATCAGTTTTCATGAAACCCCACATATAAACACAATGGCAACCTAGTTTACAAAAATTCAGTCTGGTTTTGGACAAGACTGTTTCTCAAAAATATCTGTTACATAATCAGAAGTGTATTTTGTTTGAATGACACGTTAGAAAATATGATGGTCCTTCAATATTTTCTGGCAAAAATTTAATGACAACTATAAGTCCTCAGAATACCGTTTCTCAACTGTACAACGTTTTTGTTGTAACAGGATACAACTACATTTAATGAATTCCCGTGTATATACGTGTTTAATGGACCAGTTAGAATCATTTTCGTTCGGGGAAGCAAATTACGTAGAAATAAGTAGACTAAATAAAGGAAATGGCGAACCATTACAAAACGATATCATCTCTATGAATAACCATACAGTTCCACTTGTAAAAATTATTGACTATTAAATGCTACTAAACACCAAACAAAACTGCCATCTCTTCGCATAAGTTTAGTCATACAAACGTGACTTTCAAAATATAGTTGTGTCCTAGTGAAAACTATATTGTATCATACTGAAACAAACAAGAGAATAAGAAGGTATGTATTTCCAAACAGAAGACGACTTCCAGTATACTTCATATCATCGCTAAGCGTTTGACTGTCTTTTCTTAAGCCTTTACAAACCACAGAATTTGGCATTTTCGTCAAAACTTAAACTATTTATTGGTTCAACAGTTCAATGTAAGTTAATGACTAACTTTTTTGTTTATTTTTCACAAAATGCGTATATTCTTGCCATGCATGAAAAATATTTTTTAATTTTCTAGATTTCATACTCCGTTCTGCGATGAAGTTTATTTTGTACATGTAAGTTGTTCGAGCTCGTTTAATGACAAAAAATAATTTCCAAGCACTTGAAAAAATAAAAATTTTATGAAAAACATTTCAAAACGATGACAGAGTTGAAAAAGAATAGTAGTTTTACTTTTTTTAATCTATAGTTTACGTAACAAAATGACAGCAAAACTTGGACACTATGGTTCAAAGTAATTTCACATGATGTTTGTTTATTTAACATGTTACAGAGTGGTGCACTATTGTTTACTGCATAATGCACCTGGATTTTATAGTTCTATCGACTTGGACTTTTTGTTCGCAGTGGTAGTAGAGTTTGGCACCACTCCAGAATAGGTATTGCGCAATCCTTATTACATGTATCAGATGTTTATTCAATGAACAAAGACGTGGTAACTAACCACTCCATCTTTTTAATTATGTTTACCGTTTAGTGCCGTTGCACTGTCCAACCTTTTAAGTAGAAGGCAAGGTACGTCTCAACTCACTTTTTAACTTCTAGTCCAATCATTACACCATTGGACAAGACTATAGTGTCAAACCAAGGCTACTTCAGACGGCCCCATCTATAAAAACTTATTAAACAAAAGTTAAGTTCTTAATACAACACAAACCTGTTAAATCCTTTAGTCACTGAACAGTGTTTTAGTTTACAGTCATGTAAATCTTTTTATTTTTGCATACAACGATAAATGAAATGTAAAGTGAAGCTTAGTGGTTTCAAATTGTTTAAATGGTGCACAAAATTATGGAACTTCCAAGTATATTATGCGATATTGATGCTAACTACAACCCCTAGCAGAGGCTTTTATCTCTATGTAACACTTAAGAAAAACTCTGCATTAAGATTAAATACCCGATCAATGAGAGGGATTCGAAAACTTAAAGAAAGCAGTTGGAAACAACTAATTAATCAAAAAAAGAATAATTACGCCTGATGCTGTGCACTTAATAGGTCATTCAGTAGTGATCAGGGCATTGTTTTCGTCATTCGCTGTTGATTACAAACAACCCACTGTAGAAAGCATTATAGTTGATCCACTAAAGTAATAAATTACCGTCATACACTTGACTTTGTTTAAAAATAACGATTTTGTCTTCTAAAGGACACAAATGAACAGATGATATAGGACATTTACTGACATTGGGTGTGGCATATCATAGGTAAGCATAAAGTAGCAGATTAAACCAGATCCTTTAAGGATGAAATTTTTCATTTTCTGTAAGATAATCTGTACCAGCATGTAAGTTGTCGAAGATAACAGCTTCAAAACTGTGATTTTTGCGGAAAATGGCTATCATATTTCTCAGACGATCCACATAATCTCTACTTTTACCGATTTTCAAAGCTGGTAACCCACATGAAACTTCAACATCCTATCATCCAACCGATAAAGGTTTCCGTTTTTCTGATATTTTTATACTATGTGAGAATAAAATCTAAACAGCGTAAATTTCAATAGGCGTTTCTGTATGTGTTGGTTTCTTTTAATGAAGAAAATGGTGAAGAATTAGTTAAAAAGGTTGGTGGTATGAGAATGAACAATAGATTACATTTGCAATGTTATCCAGTAAGCAATACTGTTCCGCTGTGTTCCACACCTAGTAAACAAACCAAAATGAAATTACAATCTACCACAATCCCCAGGTTTTACTCCCAAGTTAAAGTGGGTAAGACAACAAAGATTATCTTAGTAGTGATAAAGCAAGTATTTAGATAATACTGTAGTGTAATGTATTTTTGAGATGAATGGGGATTTTTAATTTAGAAGTAGTATCCATCATGGACTGACATTAGTTGGGGAACCATTGGAAATCTGGGAGCACTGGACACCTGTTTCATCCTAGTACGGGACTCCTCAGCAGTACGCGCGTTCGCCTTGAAGCCTGAAGGTCCTGAGTTTGATCCCTAGCCTGGTCGTGGGCGCGTACTGCCGAGGAGTCCCATACTGGGACGAAACAGATGTCCAGTGCTCCCAGATTTCCAATGGTTCCCCAACTAATGTCAGTCCATGATGAATACTGCTTCTAAATCCTATAGTGTAATAAGTGAAACTTAGGCATATTTCAAATTCCTTCAGTTTATTCTTTAAATGCTACTGAAAACAGAATACTTTAATATCTTGTTAATACGTGCAACCTGCTTGTAAACTTATCAAAAAAAATGTGTGAAAAATATTTCCTCAGTAAGGAAGTTAATTCTTTGACCGTAATGCATAAAGTAAATCTTTTTGAACTCCTCTCGCCACGTAGTTGCATCTAAAAATTATTCTTTATTTGAGCATCTGAAAGAATCTACAGTTGTACAAAAAAATAGCTCATTAGATTTTCGGATTATGTTATGGATCACATTCGATTCGGTAAACTACCTAACAAAAACCAATATAATATAAATGAAAGTATTACTTCAAAAATGAACCAACCTGAAACATTTTCTTAACAATGACTGTTTGTGAGCAGCAAAGGCTTTCGCTATCATTTCAGGTGTAGGCTTAAGGGCAACAAAAAAGAGTAGAAAAATCTCGTAAGACAACCGTAAGCCATCTCATACTGTATCAAATTTTACCCTTCTACATTGTTTTAATCATTATGTTATCTAATTATATTATATACTCTTCAACATATTTAAAATCGTTACAACCTATTGCACTACAAGTTGGTAGCCAAACTAAGGAAAAGCACCATGGTGGATGACAACGAGTTCTCAAACATATGACTATTCCGGAAATTACTGAACCCATTTGTCAACTCTGCAGTAATAAATAATCTCTGACCAGTAATCTAACTGTAAAATTCTCCTCGTTATTATTACTCTTTTCATAAATTCACTATTCGAAATTTTGTGGAGTATATATATATATATATATATATATATATCATGCTTAAAACTCCTTATTGTACCGAAACATTGTCCGGAATTATGTTATTACTATTATTGAATACTTACATTCACTGCGTCATTTAAAGGAAAACATAGGCCTTTTAGTATTTACGGACAAATTAATAACAAAATTCTTACTTATAAAACTCTGCTAGTATATACAAAGCACAAAATGGGTTTTGAGTTCAAGACCGGAAGGTTCTCAGTAGTTTCAGTAATGGATAGTAGAGAGACATGAGAATGAATCCAAGTTTCTCAATCCGTTAGTATTGCCTGTATGTACTAAATACGCATTGTCAACATTAGTTATCAGAAATAGTCAACTTTCCATAACTTTTTTCTTCTTGAAAGTGATGAATTTTGTGCAAAACTATGTAGTAGTCTGTCTGACTGTTTCATTGTGAAATATCAAATACAATCTAGCTGAGTATATCCTGAATTTGTCCACCTTTTACCTCGACAGACCGATTACTCACGATATCCAATTCCATAAACGAAATGACCAGTATTTATTTATTTATCATCATCTCTATGATATATCTGAAAGTATCTACCGAAAGGTATTCAGTTCAATGTAAATGCAGTCCTGACTCATGAGTTGTAGCAAACGACTTTGCAAACACAAAATATCAGTATATTGTCGTTTCATAAACGCTATTACATTGAAATGTAATACGCTAATTATAACCACTAGCTTATCCATATTTTCTTGGAAGTAGATTACATCTATCACAAATGAACTGAAATCTTTTGATGTTTTATGCGGTGAAGTAGTTCGTTCGGAAATTAATTCGTATCAGTTAAGACCTACTTCAGTGCATGAAAGTAGAGCTCGGGCACTGTGGTAGATTATAATTCTATTGCAGTTCTTTTTATATGTGCATCAATAAGTGAAACAGTATTATTTACGAAAAATGTTCCGAATACGATTTACCGCTCACTATCATATAAGGTATTCACTCAACTTTCTGGCATAACTTTTATACTCCTACGATTTTCTATTCTTCAATTAAAGTGGTATCAGAAAATTTCCACATATACGTAGTTGGTGTTTCATTATTTCTGTTGTATCAGGTGTTGATTCGACAATCAAAGCTTCAGTCATTAATCTTTCTCTCCACATTCTTAGATTATTTGTTACAATTTTCAACCTACTGCCTACAGTTGCGTGATCGTCCGTAATAGAACGGAGTGCTGTGGCTGAGCTCTTTCGTAGATTTCGCATCTTGCTAAGGTTTGCCATTTTATATTTGGCCAGGTTTCTTTATTCCGCCAACCCAACTGACTACAATCGGTTAGTCTGACCTGCGTTTTTGATCCGACATTCATTACATAAAACTCAGTAGACCAAACTAGTTTGTTCCACAGGGTAATTAAACCAGACCACATAGTGCGATTTACTCGATGTCATTACTGGTGTCAAAATTGAGAAACTGAAAGCTATACGAAATATACAAATTAGTGACATTAGTAAGTGCGGACCACTTAAGCTGGTCAGCAGTACTTACTAGTGATCTGAATACAAGCCAGCCGTTTCAGTCGTTTGGGGTTGAGCTCGTCAGTGCCCAGATTGTGTAGGTTCAGAAAGCCAGATTGTTCAAACCACTTGAATTCAGCCTAGCTATTCCAGAGGACTGGTTATATTTAGCGTTGTCAGATATTTGCAGAATACATAATCCGTGGTAAGCAATCTCACCACTTTGCCATATAAAAACTAATATATTCAAATCACATGATGTGATCTGCTGAACATGTCAATGGCGCCAAAATTACAAGGGTTACAGCTGTCAGTTCAAGTAGCTGAAGGACATTCGTCAGCCCTGAACAGTTCGGTTCACTGACCTCAATCAGTCTAGACGTCATCACCAAACCAGAGAAACGCCTAACAATTAGCTTTTTGTACAGCATTTCATGGAACCATTGACTACTAGTCTTGACCACCCCAGTGGTAAATCCTTTTCCACCTCCTCCTCGAAATGCTTGAAGTCGAGTGGGATCGACTATAGTGGTGCAGATATGCATATGATGTATCTTGCTTTAAAATGTGAACACTAACCAATTTTATAACTAATAATTTCGTCCAAACCACCCCTCTTCTCTGCTTTTATTTCAGCATATTTAGGGTCCGGTGATTTTCTTTTCATTTGGTTTCTAGAACACTTGGCACTTGAAGTGGTACAGTTTGTGTGCATTTTTTCCTTTGTATAGCATTATGCTTAAGGTAGACAGAACGGAGAATCCGAGGAGTAGAAAGCTACAAAGCCAAGGAAATGAAAACCTGGAAATGTATTAACCTAGCTAAAAACTTTATCTTGAACTCGTTTTTCATTCAGAATGCAAAAAACTCTTCTCTTGAAACCAGAGAAGACGTCATGGACCATTATTTATAACAGAGCTCTAACTGAATTTAAACATTTATGATGATTTCATGATAAGGAAACAGATACAGCAAGGTAGAACCTGGGTTTCAGTATTTGATGTGATGGTCTAAGGTGTCTTCACAAGCACTCTTTCCCCTGTCAAACTTCATATTTCCTCCAACCAGAATAAATAAATCTTTGGTCGAGCTTAAGCACTTATCAATAGTATGAGGGGAAACTTTATATTTATCAAATAAAAACGTAAGTTTTAAAAATAGTAAAATATAATGTTCTCACTTGATAACGTAGATCTTCTGGTGAAATCTAGTCAGAAATCAGAAGGAAAAACTTTTTAACATTACATTTTTCTATGACTACATTTTAAGCTTTAAAACTATCATTTTAAATATTATGACGTTTTCATTTGAAAGGAAATTAATACAGCTCACACTTCTCAGCTATAGTTTCACTCCCAAGTTATATATATCAGCGTTTATTCCTAGTAAGATATCCTGGTCTTTTGTGCTCAGAGATTATGAGAAACATCACAGTGTATTACGTGTCGACTGGTGAAGCATAACGATTTGTTATTTGTTCAACTGATTTGTCAGGTGATGGTTAATTCAACGATGACAACTTCAGCGTATATCAACACCAGGTGAAGTACTCAGAAAACTTAAAAGCATTGGTAATTTTTTATTTCTCAGAGTTTAAATTTCCTATTTTTTGAATTCTTTCTACTACACAAGAGGTTCATGTCCAGTAGAGGTAATATTACCATTTTTTAGAATAGTTTGTTGCCCATCTGTCAGTATTTTATAACTACAGATACTTCGGGAGACACCAGAACTTTAGTCCGAATTGATCAGTATATATTTGACTGACCATGTGATTACGAATTTTCGAGTAAACCTTTAGAAGACTGATGATGGATAACTGCAGTAATCAGCGCCCAACTGTTAATTCATTAGTTTCCAGGAGTTGGATGTTTTTCCAAATAGATGATCATCACAGATCGACAGTGAAAAGTTCTTTGGAAGCCTCATACAGGTAAACACATACTTCGTAAATAACTTTGCTAATATCTACTGAATAATTTGTTTTCCATGTATACTTTCGGTTTAAGTTGAATGCAAACGACCGGCAGGACGTTCTGTACCTACAATTGTGCTTTTTGGTATGTGCCAATAACGCGTACCTGCAACCCCGATGCAACTGATTTCCGACCTGAGATTCCGACTTGGGTCATCCAGTGCTTTAGTCCTAGACATCACCACTGAAATACTCTGGCTGCAACTGCCCCATTGAAAGACTGGATAACGCCTATGACGGAATCACTTAGTTAATTGGGTCCGAGTCTCAAATAAGACATCAGTTCCCTCGACGTTAGAGACAGATGCTACTGATGAGTGTACAGTAAGGGATTCCCAAAGACTACCTTCGTCAAACTAACATCTCTCTTAGTATATCCAAACAGGATGTCTGCTGGACTGGTTGTACACTGCAAAATGACTCATAGAATTCCATCAGCGCTTAGAACGAGACAATATGAATTCGGTAATTTTCCACTGACCAACTGATATGATTTTCGTTTAAATTAAGCATGAAGAAAAAATAACCTACGTTTCATGCACTTTTAGAGGTCTACAAGTTTAGGCAAAGCAGAAATGAATAGATTCGCAGAATGAAAAAAATATCCTTTTATTTCGTGAATATTCCTCAGTCCCATACACCCTAAAATTAAAATTATTAACACCTAACGTAGCTTAAAATTAGAAAGCCTATAACCTTAAGTCGTACATCAAAATCATCGTTTACTTATATCATACATGAGAGGAGGTTGAAGAATTGTACAGATGGGATAAGAAATTTGAGAAAAAGAACAATTAATACTAGATGACAGATTGGTTATACAGCATCAAAAGAAATGACATGCGTAAGATTGAAACCAACTCAGTGAGTTTATATCATTAGGTGATTAAAACAAAGAATTATGTGGTAAACATGAAACGAGACCAAATTACAATCACCATGGGAGTGAGAGATCGACCACACTCTCCACATGTTTATAGACGTCCAACTGAAAGTGTTGAATACCAGTCACTTCTATGAAGCGTAGTAGTCCAGGCATTTTCTGCACATTTATCACTTTAAAAGTGCTATAAGTAACAACTAGATGTCATATATCCGTGAGGTATCTACTAATTGCACCGGTTAGAACCTTGCTTTCTTTCAGGTATAAATTTGTTGGGATATGCTCAATAAACATAACGAATGCCCTTCTCTCAGTCTTTCTAATATATGACAAGTGCACGTAAATTCAAAAATTTGGTTCAGGCTAATATCTATAGGATATTCATTCACTTTGAAGTGATCTAGTGAGCTTGTTGTACTGTAGTACCTACACTAATTTGGCCGCAAGAAAGCTTCTTTTTAGTACAACTTCATTCTGTTTTCTCTAACATTCCATCTACCTTGAATGCAAAAAGAATGAAAACCTTTTTGCAGCGGTCGGGTACGTAGTTCTTTCAACCTGTTCTTTCACACGGTTCAGAATAAATTTTTTAGGATGTCCATTTCCTCGTAGACACTTTTCAATAATGTTTAACATTTTCTCAAACTTGTCCGCAGAAAATGTTTCTAGCTCCACAGTAAAGTGCTTTGACACAATTATACTTGACGCCATAAATGCTGTGCTAGTTAAGGTATTATCCGATCCATGTATCGTTTCTATGGACGGTCTTTCCAATAAGTACCACTATTTTTTTTGCATGTTGAGGTCTAAAAATGCAACTGGTTGTTATTTTCATGTCCAACTGTAAATTTGATGTTTAGTTTGAGCTTCGTCGATCTTATCGAACAGCTAAGTTGCATAATTCATATCACTGCAAATTACAAATGTCTTCTCATGAAGGAACACAGAAACGTCTGTTCAAAACAATTCCAGCGCTTTTAAAGTGATAAATGTGCAGAAAATGCCTGGACTACTACGCTTCATAGAAGTGACTGGTATTCAACACTTTCAGTTGGACGTCTATAAACATGTGGAGAGTGTGGTCGATCTCTCACTCCCATGGTGATTGTAATTTGGTCTCGTTTCATGTTTACCACATAATTCTTTGTTTTAATCACCTAATGATATAAACTCACTGAGTTGGTTTCAATCTTACGCATGTCATTTCTTTTGATGCTGTATAACCAATCTGTCATCTAGTATTAATTGTTCTTTTTCTCAAATTTCTTATCCCATCTGTACAATTCTTCAACCTCCTCTCATGTATGATATAAGTAAACGATGATTTTGATGTACGACTTAAGGTTATAGGCTTTCTAATTTTAAGCTACGTTAGGTGTTAATAATTTTAATTTTAGGGTGTATGGGACTGAGGAGTATTCGTGAAATAGAATGATGTCGCTTCAGTCTATGAATCCTTTTCATCTTGCTTTTTTCAGTCAAGCAAGTTAAGTTATTTGCATGTTGATAAGTATGAAATTATAATCAATTCATCCTTTTCTACAACTCTAGTCACAGTCAAATCCAAATTCAGTAGTCATGTTAGTAGTTTCAAGTTTCACTTAGATTTTTTTCAACTTTATATTTTATGAAGCCATTAAAGAAGGCACTTTTGGACATTTTAAATAAGCCTACCAGAGGTTGCAGTTCTTCATGAAGCTAACTTTAAAAGCGAATTTAAACCGAAAAACGTCTACGCACCTGTGCTGAATGTAATCATGTTAGTGTAATGTGATATAGTCACTTTTATGTGAACGGAATATGCAAAACTATCATATTAAGATATTATAAGCATATTCCAAGGAGAAAACTTTGTTATTAACTTGAATGCTTCCCTCCTGAACTTTAATAATCCTCTTTTTGAAAAAATATTTACAAATTTAGGTTACTATGAGTGCTGATTTAAGTGTTCATGGTTTCTTGATTATTATATAAATCACTGCATTTCTTCAAAACATTTGGAATTTAAGTAAAATCTAGTCACATCTGCATAGAAAAAGGCATTAAAGCATAAATTTATATATTTCCACCGACTTCATATTTATTTCTTTGTCACAGAAAGTGCATTTAATTATCTTGATTACTTGTATACTTGTAACTAAATTATCCCTCCATAAGCTTTAGACTCTAAATAAACTTTATGATCAGAGTACTCTAGGCTTCTTTGTACTTAGTCTAGCGCATAAATTTTTAAGACTCAGATCATTAATAAATTGTAATTGTTTATGTTAGCAAAAGAATATGTTTCCAAAGATTTTTCGAATTCCCTAATCGTATGTAAAATGTTGATAAAACAATAAAAATTAGTGCAATACTTACAAACTCCAGTTTCGCTGTGCCAAACAGCGAGTGCATTAATTCATGATCAACGTATGGATGAGAAGGTTTCATATCCGGATCAATAAAAGTATCCCTGTGTTTTCATAAATAAGCGCCCAAAACATAACTGATAAGGAAATAACCGGCAAAAGGCTTTTAAAGTAATTCAGTTAAAAATTTCAGCACAATGATATTATATTATCAGCTTTAAGTTATATGTATCTCATTTAGATGGAATATTTTTCCTATTTCTTATAACTGAATGCCTGGTAGTTTTAGAACTGTACAGGATCATCAACATAATTAGTTAACTGAAAGTATTGGGTATAATGACATACCACTGATCTACTGGACTTAAGTGACGAACATAAAGGCAGTAGACAGCTTTTTAAACTTTCCCGTGACTTTTCTTCACAGTACCAACTTAATAATTAGCAGCTTGATCATTATGCATCTCAGTACTAGGTTAATTACTTTGAAGTAAGAAAAACTGACAGACTTCATGAACCTCTTCTTTATCATCCGGACTCTGGTGACACCATAATTATGTTTAAATATATATATATATATGTGCATGTTTGATATTTCAAAGAGGTCACAGAGTAAACATATTTGTGCTAGTGTAATCCATTTTTTTAGCCACGTCACTTTAATTCTTCAGACATTGGTTTTTTAATCTCTAAGAAGCTTGTCAAATAGCTTATACTTAGATTTAAAGTTAGATACCCTATGGTATGGCTGGAGCCTTGACCTACTCATACTTAGCTTTCTTCAAAAGTAACACTACCTTGTCTATAAGTGCCTACCAGGTAAAGGGGCGGCTCAGTATTTGCACACTTTTACCTGCTACTCATCTAGTGAAAGTTCATATATGTACAAACAATGTACTCAGTATATCTTCTGTTTGAATGCCAGTCAAACATCTCATCCATACCATTAATGTTACAAGCTGATGAATGCAATGCGAACCTTGTGAACTATTACACAGAATTTCATTTGACTGATAATGATTAAATCAGTCTTTGAATTCACTGATAAGTGATTAAATCAAGTATTTAGTTGTTGATTTTCTTGAGATATAATGAATTGGTGGTTAGTTACTCCTTGGTGACAGTTCATGATAGATCATAATTTGAATTTGCATCTGGTTTTATCGTTTGCTCAATCTTGAATATAGCACTACCTTTCCTGTCCTTGCCCTCATCTTACAAATCTTATTTTTAGAACAAGCAACAAAGGAAGGATTTAGTGAATTCAGAAATTTCAGTAACACTCGTCAGCTGATACCATAAATACACAATAATATATGCTACTATCTAATACAAAAAAAATAAACACATATGAAAACGTAGAACTCGACATAAATTTAGATGTAACACCATATGCGGGTCAAGCGATAATGCAAAAGGTAGGAGTGGGTTTTCAAATTGAATAGGCTGGAGATAGATGAATTTCGGTAGTAGTGCAGTCTAAAGAATTATATGAATTTCAGATAAGAAAATAATGATGATAATAATAAAAATCATAACTTGACTGTCTGAGATAGCCGCAGTTTGGCAGACTAGTATTTATACTGGGTGATGATCGAAGGTGAGATGAAAATCCCGACTGTGGCCGGATTCGAACCAGCGACCACCAGGTTTCCGGCTCGGTGCTCTACCAATTGAGCTTCGAGGTCCGATAGCTGACCAGAATTTTATTTCACTGGACCGGTAACCTGGAGGTTCCTGGCTTGAATGCTGCCGTGGTCCAGTTTCCCATCTCAACATCAATCATCACCCAGTATAAATAACAAAAATGTTGACATGGAAGAGAAGTGAATTTGTTGAGGATATATCACGTCATTCCTAACAAGGCAGTTATAAGTCACTTAAGACGACATCAATAAAAAACCAGGCATCTATTGAGATGATTAATAATTATAATGGTAATGCAGATAAGGTTAATTAAACGAAACAGATTAGAAAAAAGCCAGGAAATATGAAGGTAATAAATGAAGGCAAAGAGTAAGTAGGGAAAATTAAATATGGTTAGACGACACTTCAACTATTGCTATGGTAGATTCAACCTAACTACTCCTATCTTCAGAATGCAGCGTTTAAGTACAACATCCGGAATTAAAGCAACTTATCACTCTGCTTTTTACTCATAGTTTTAAATGACTTACAGGAATAATATCATGTCAAAAGTTAGTTAGGTGTCTTGTTACCAAACTTCTTTTCTGTATGCTTCAGTTATTGAGATAGGTACTCAGTCATTCAAGTAGAGAGACACCTCTATGTACGACTCATTTACTTGCTTCCTACTTTATGTATATATATATATATATATATATATATATATATATATATATTGTTCTTTTGCATTGCTTAACGACGTATATAGTCAAGTATTTAGAATATCCAGCTGACGGGTTCTACCTAAATTGATGAAGTCATTAAATCCTTCCCTTTTCACATCCATTATTCTTTGTACATTTTATACGGAAGCAATGCTGATACTTGCTATAACTTGAAATTTGATTCTTCTCATTATCTTCATCTTTTCGTACTCTGTGACAATTTGAATCAGTGCACTTTTGGTTAAGATTTTATATTATTCCGCTTTTTTATTATATAATGGGTAAATGCTGGAAAATTGGAATTAGAATAAATTAATCTGGCAGAATACATCTCAATTCTCAGTAAGATCGCTTCATTTGTTTGCTAACGAAATATAAAATGTGATTATATATGACTAATAAACGAACATTTAACAAATAACATTAATAACTGATCTCTATCGGAATACAATGGAGTAAAAATTAGTGCGAAAGTGTGAAATTTTTGAACGGCAATAGACTGTGTACTAATATACAATGTTAAGTGACTGCGAAAACTCCTAAGTGTGAGTTTGCTATGTGATGAACTGTCGTAAACTCAAGAGCCCAATGCCATCAACTTTGTTATTATTTTTTTTAATTTTGTTGTCATCCTGTGTGACGAGACGTTGGAGACATTTTAAGAATGCGCGAGAGTACGTTTAACGATTTATTGGCATTTGAATAATTAAAGCGAATGCAAAAAGAGTCATTTGATTTAGTTCATACAATGAAAAATTTAGATAATTCAAATTGTAATCAGGTCGCCTTGAGTGAGTATAGAATACCCACAATGCAAAACACTACAAATGAATAATCTCCGAAGATAAACAATTTCTGATGTATTAACATTTAGTACCATCAAAAAGCAAAATTACTGAGCTCATCAATAGTGAATAAAAATATACTCACTAATAACAACCTTATTTGTTAACATGAGATCTGACACAAAGTTTATTACAGAATCGTCTAAATTCATTACATAAAGCTTTTTTGTGGTGTAATTTGTTCAAAAACAGTGTTTTATTGGACTGTGTAGTTAGATTAGCACTAATAAACTAAAAACATGCTACATGAACAAGATTCCTTATGTGTTAAGTTCTTAACAATGCCAACATAGTAAACAACTTACCAATTCAAGCTAATATATCCCATATCATAAAAAAGTTGGAGTTTTTCAGCTATCCAACGGCGAGGATTTTCTGGCAACATAACGCTCAGACCACTTAAAAGTGCCTTCATACATTGGAGGCGAAAATGTATAAAATTTTAAAATCAGAGTATTATTTAATGTTGCTTATGATTAGATATTTTAATCGGTAGACATGTTTAAAAATTGCATCCCTCAATAAATGGACGAAAAGTTGCGCTAATCTTTCTGACAGGCGATAATTCTATCCTACTATCACTTCATTGTGTTACGTAATAGGGTAACAATTAATTAAGCATGATACTGCACAAAACTTGTTAATAGATCCCTGTATAAAAAAGTTTCCAACGGAGAACTTTCTTAATATTCTGACTTGTTGTGTCTGACATCAACTTGTATTTTACTACGCAACTTTTCTACCCTATTTTATAGTAGGCTGTGATTACCAAAAGAAGCATTTTATATTGACTTGTATTTTGAAAGCTATGAGAGCCATACGTATGTAGCATGAAGCTTCCTCATCGTGTTTAGCAATTCTTCTTGAAATGAACAGTTGACTATTCAACAACAATCTATCAGTTGCGGTAAAAGAGAATCTGCATTTTGTAATATTTTTCTGTGAGTTTTAAGGCAAAAATCTATATATCTTACGGCTACTGATTTTAGACAGCTCACAAATCAGTTGTACTTGATTTAAAGACCTGTCAAGTCCCTAGACACAGATTGTGTAACGGTAGGAAATTTCAAACCCCTTACCTTTTTACAACGAAAACGTTTAGAGCTAATTGTTATAATCAAATTATTGTAGTTAATCCCCAGTGCAAATAAAATGACAAAACTACAGAATATTCACTGAATCTAAAAATTATTTCATAAAAGATGACCATATTTTTTGCCATGGGATTATTTAAATTGTCAATAGTCACATGACACCATGCGTGTGTAACTATTTCAATCTGATACAGTTCGTTCCTTACACAGATTTAAATATAGCAAGGACAACAGCTTTGGCAGAATAGCATGGATCCATTTTATCTCGCCGTTTTTCAGCAGCTACTTACAACCTAAATCAATATCAAAGTAAATTTATATAACATGTTTGTATTCTAGAATCAGCTTTATGGAAGTTGTTGGCTTGAACTAAAGATACCATCGATATGAAGTAACTGAAAACATTCAATCGACTGAACAAATATGTAGAGGTACGTTTGCCAGTAAACAGAAGGATTAGACGAATATTCCAGAGCGGAAGTAGCCAGCGCTGATGACCTCGGATTTGATTGGTTGTTTCGTCTCCTGTGTCGTCACTGTATATAAAAGTACTTCCCTCGACCTGAATTCCGGCCATGTTGTTGCTTCACTTGTTTTTTTATTCGTTAATCGACTGGGTCAGTGTTAATATGCCTACTGATCGGTAGTCATTAGTATTTAACATTCGTATGATATGATATGAGTTGTTAATACAGTGTTCTGTGAAATCACTTAAGTACCTTATACAAAATGTCTAAATTGGGCAGTATGTACATAATGAAAAAAATATTTCGCTATAAACAAAATCCAAAATTACAAAAGCTGTACTGAAATCCATAAAACCCCCTTGAGGTGAATCAAAACAAAAGCAGATAGGTTAAATTTATTGTTGGTTGCAATAATTAATGAAAATAGTGAAAAAGGTCACTATTGCACCCCTACTTTTCAGAACAAATGATTCATTTTAATCTCAACAAATAACAGACAATTTTTGCAGTTAAATATTGTTTTATGTTTGTTTAAAGCTTAGTGTGTTTGAAATGAAACAATTCGAACATTCGACGTAAAGGTCTGGTTGGAATTCTTTCTTCTTTGAATATCTCTATGTTACTTATATAAAAGTGCTAAGCCTAATCGCGATTTTTTATAGGTTTTGATAGGATGCATATAAAAGATGTCTTAATAAAGCTTCACAGAAATACCTGACTTCAACATGTTCGGTAGCCTAAAATAACAGTAATACCACAGAAAGTGATGTTTATTTGCTGAAAAAGCTTTAGTATTTTTCAATTCATTGCCTTATTCCAAGTTATTTGCTATGTAGAAATGTATACAGAAAATAAACTCAGCTCTAAGTAAATATTTTGATGCGAAATAGACACCACAGCTTCGCACAGTGAAGTATCTAACATTATGAGAAATATAAGACTGTCATCTGACTAGAAAGCACTGAAAAAGTCTAAAATGAGGGGAAGTTCATACAAGTCTGCCAAGTTAATATTGATAGTAATTTGGCTGGAAAGAATTTTATAAAACACTAAACAAAATTATCAATCTCTCTAAATATATCCTTACCTCAAAAATTTCATATAAATGATGTGTTCGAGCATATTTTATCAAAACTGGATCAGGTTTACGAATCAGAATTTCTATTCGATCCTGTAATAATTTTTATAGCAGAAATGAACTGTTTAGTAAAGCTAAAATTTATCTAGATAGGCTTTTGAAAAAGAGAAATTGCAAAGAATAAACAAAATTTAGTTCGTGAACTCATTTATTTTATTTTTTTTATATCTCTACATAAATTTATGCATACTATCCAGCTGTTTATTTGACCAGATTCAAACGTGGCAATGGATTTACAATGGCAGATTCAATTTCTTCAAATACAGTATGCACATCTCGATCAGCATGCACTCTTATAACACATGAATCATAATAGTCTATAATATCATCACGATGTGCAATAAACCTTGCTAGTTTAGCACCAACAACACATTCTTGATCGTTTGGATGCTGTAAACCGCGTTGACTGATACTCAAATCTTCTGCTGGTTCAAATAAGGTGTGAAAACGTGTACCAGTGACGGGATCAATCCTACGTCCAGAAAGTCTTTCCGATGCACACGATTGATGAATATCAAGTAGAATAACCCTGTTTGGTGCTAATTCCTTGACAGAAAGAAGCTCAGCTTGTTGACGCGTACGTGGATAACCAAAAAGTGTCCAGCCATACGTGACACAATCTATTTCATTTAGCCTTTTTATTACTACTTCAGAAATAATCGCATCTGGAACTGTAGAGTAAAAAGGTGAAAAACGAAACACTTAATGAAATATGACAATTATTAAAGACTATGGCACTGAATATACTATTAAGAAAAACAGGCATATGCAATTTGGGGGTTATTTATCTAGGCGGTTAAAAAGACGCTAACTCAGAGAGAATTATTTTAAAAATACAGTATAGTTCGAAATCACTAAGCCTTCTTACTGATTCTCCAAACAGGAAAATCTGCTTTGTTTCTCAACTCTTCATATGCGTATCGTTTTATAGATCTTTTCTTGAACCAGTAAACTAATAGCTACTAACAAATTACAAATTACTCTACTTTTCCAAATTTATGTTAGTAGTTACTAACATACAAAACATAAGTATCACATTCTGCTGTTTAAATTCGCCAAAGCAAGTAATTAAATACTAAATACTTAAAAACTGTGAATATTACTACAATAAATTATTTATAATATTAATTTTAGAGCCAGCAGTGATAATCTATATGATTTTTTTCTGATAGACACATGTTTCTGATCAGCACTGACTTCAAATATAAAAAGAGATGTTGTTTCATTCTGTGTACCCTGACATCAGAACAAAGATAGATACAAAGAGATCATATCGTTATGATTCATTATTGGAGAGAATGAATAGAAGTTGGCTGCTGTTTTTGTTGTAATTTTTTGAACTCAACTAGTGAATTAGTAATAGCCAGTGTGCATTTGCATCTTAATGGACGTTGACACCATAGACACACATAGACACCAGTGAAACCTTCATATACTCAATTGGAAGCTGAAAATAAATGTGTGTATTTGTGGGGAAGATAACTAGGTATTCATATGAAAATAAAAGCAGCTTTCTGGTGAAGCCTAGCCTAATACTCAGTCTACTGTAGCAACAGTAGTAAAAACAGTTGGTAACCTATGTCCGAAAGTTGGTAAAGATCAATGGACTACAGCAATACCGACAAATCTGACTGAGGTGAGAAGACTTATTTTGATCAGCTCTGATTACAAATAAGAGCGAAAGAAGCTGAAACGTAAACTAACTAAGAGTCATCCTAATGACTACCAGCAGTAGTGGATGGTGCAAGCGTAAGAAACCGGGGAGGCATCGACATTAAGTAGTACTCAGTAAATAGTTAGGCTTACTAAAGAAGCTTACAATAAGAAGACGATAATCAGTGAGATTATAACTGAACAGGATTGCTCCGTGATAACCGCTCTCAAAAGTAACCGAAAGTTGGGCAAAATGATTTGAAAAGTAGTCTAACTGACCTACAGTCAAACTTCAGTTATCCGATATCCAGCTCGAATTTGGAATAGCAGATGACTGTTTGGCCTCCAACTTACACTGAAATTGAGAAAGCAGTTAAAAACCTATAACAACTGAAACCTACAAGGATTAACTACTTACCACTAGATGATAGAAAACTACCGAACAAAGTTACTCAGGTACTAACTACTGTATGAAAATCAGAACTAGTTCAGTAAAAGAATGGTTTAGATTTCTGACCACTCCTCTAAGTAAGAGAAGTCGTTTTCTTGTGACCGTCACACGGGAATCAGTTTGACTGATATTCTATCCGAGATCCTATGGTCAATAGTTATCCGATGCATTATCGGTGCTAGGGAACAATAATGCTTTTTAAATCTCTATGTCACAAAAGTATTAATTTGAAACATTCAGTAATCATAATTAGTAACTACTTTGTTCCTCATTCATCCCAACACATATCTGTTTGAAGGCTTCTGTTAGGAAGGAGATAATTCTATAGGGTTAACATTTCTTGAGCTTCTGATGTGAAGTATAGTCTTCAAAGTGATAAAGTAATACCAGAAATTGTATTTTCATGGTTCCAGGGAAAGATAGTAGGTAGATGCATCATGGTAGATTTCGAAGCCTATGTGAATCACTGGTTTGATAGCAAGATTTTCAACTCTTTTATCCAGACTTTTCATCGTTATTGACATTCATTTAAGCAACAAAAACTAGATTTATGCCTTTACTATTGTGAAAACACCCATGTCACAAAAAGCCCCTGGTAACCACTATCCTGATATAAATATGTAATACATAGCTTTATCACAGCAATCAGAGAACAAAAAATTCGTCTATTCGAGTATGTAAATGTATCTGAGAGCTTAGAAAGTAGATTAGTACTGTTTTCCTTTTTTGCATAAAATAATCCACAGTAGGCGGCACCTGAAATAAAGTAGTTTTTACATTATGATTCAATTCATATTAGATTTGTTTATTTGATTTATAACACACAGTGATCTGGTATTATTTACTTGATAACGTTTCGAGCATAAATTATTGCTCATAATCATATCAATGCAATCACACTACTTTCAACATTTGATTCTTATAGTTACGTCACTTTATATGAGTTATTTTTATTGGTAGCAAAATTTTCCATATCTGTGGTATAGGTGTTGCGTCATTTCGATTACACGTGTTGCGTGTTGCTTCGATGAACAAAGATTCAGTAGTCAGTCTCTCTCTCCACCTAATTGTATTGAACTCAATTAAGTTTGAAGGTATCCTGACCAACAATGGACTGGATGGTTGACGAGATAGCAAAGGATACCCAATAAAGTGGAATCTCAGCAGGCAGATAGGAGACTTGTTCGGGAAGTCTTAAGACTAAATGATTTTCCAGACAAACTATTAAAAAGGATCGAAAAAAGTTTATCGAATAAAAATATGAAAAAGTCAAGCCATAAAGATTGAATAAGTACTATAGTACTTCCTTATCGAACATCCACTTCAGAGGAAATAAAGCGTATCCTTAACAGTTACAACATCAGAGTATTCTTTAAGGTGACCAATACATTACACTCACACCTGTGTAAATTAAAAGACCCGATTCCTCATTTGGAACAACAAAACTGTGTTTATAAGGTAGACTGCAGTGAATGCGATGCCACATATATTGGAGAGACATCAGGTCAAGTACTAACACGTCTAGCAGAACATGGTAGAAGTTCCAAAAAACCACCGAAAAATTCCTATGGTCTAGAAAAACTTGGATCTACTATTTTCATCAATTTTACAATACTTTCTGAGTCGTATACATTCGATGAACCATAACACAACCCATTTTCGAGATGAGTGGGGATTTTTAATTTAGAAGTAGTATTCCATTTTGTTACCACCCCTACTTCAAGTGTTATCGAAAGTACATTTATGGTTATCATTATTATTATTTATTTAAGATATATTGTCTCATCTTCGAATATTCATCCTTCTAAACTAGTGATCTATTCTTTCTCACCCTTGATGTCTCACAACCCCATTGTACTTTTCATAGGCGAACTAAAAAATTTCCCCACCCTATTTTGGTTCCACCTTACTCGTACAACGGAAAAACCTCTCTAACCGAGTTGCTTATTCACTCACCTGTATTACATTGATCTTTGCTCCATATCACTATGTAATTGGATGATTGTAAAGGTCACCACTTTGTGTACCAAAACTTGAATATTAACCTGAAAACTTAGTTTTAGATTCATACCCTTGGAAAGGATCTTCCTAGCAAGGTCGAAACGTTGAGGAATAATACAAAATATTTGTTTATTTTGTTATTTGTTCTAATATACTACGCCGGGATTACACAAATAAAAATACATCCTATCCAATGAACTCAATTAAGTTCAATGGTTTTATGCCATCCTATTGTGCGGTTGTGTTAATGTTTGCATTGCAATAGCCGAGTTTTTTCCTAGATTATTGATTATATTAGGGTCTGTCACTCTATATTTAGCTAAATTCGTATGTTCCGCTATTCTAACTGACCCCGACCAACTAGTTTAACTTATGTACTTGACCTCACAGTCATTACATTGAATTGCATTACTTTAAAGGAACAATCATTTCAAAAAACCAAACTTGCAGTCAGAACAATGATGAGAGACCGGATACATTACATACATAATGCAAATAGAGGCTTAAATTAAATATATGTTTTATTAATATTGCATTCTATCTTAGAACATTCCTCTGATGCCTATGTTTGAGTTTCCAAGTTAAAAGCTATTAATGTCAGCTTAAATTTCATCTTTAGTGCATCTTCAGCACGAGAAAGATCCAGCACATTATTTCATATTTATGTCAAGCTGAACAATGGTTAGTGTCATTAAGGATCATCCACCGCCTAAACCTAAACTTTAGATACACAGAGGTGAAAACTTTAATGACCAATACAGCAATTCACTGTCCTACAGCCCACCCTGTTTTCTGTGTAGATTAGGTTGTGTGGGACATGGAACTATAATTTTTGGTTTGACTCCGAATACCTGAAGCAATCTAAAAAAATAAATAATGATAAAGTGTCTAAATACAACTGTTTATAAATGATGTAAAATATTGAAAGCATACCCGGCAGATCCTTGTGAACATACGTTTTCATAATATTCCCAGTCGAAGATTGATTCGCGATTTCTCGAAGTACAAGTTGTCTACAATCGACTGGAATAATTCCATACTTCTTAGCCAATAAATTTGCTTGAGTGCTTTTACCAGATCCAGGATAACCAAGTAGGATTATTCTAGGAGTTTTTAGAGCAATACTACGATGTGGCTGATTGACTTTTGCTACGACACAGGAGTACACATCAGTGATTGGTTGGTCCGCATTGAGCTCATAGGCAACACTTGAATATATATTCTTTAATAAAACCACTTCTCTGCTGTATTCACAAAGCTGTTTTCGAATCTCCTCTTCATTATTTTCTGGAATTTTAACTAAACGTCTTTCGATCACTGAAGTAACTGGTGGATTGTATATCAAATTATATAGATCTATAATTTTTTTTAAAAAATGTTATATTTCAGTCCGGAAATAGTTTTTTCTTCACCTCCAGTCTCCGGATCCATCCTCTCTCCAGATGCTCTTTCAATCAATGTGATCAAAGGAGCCTCAAGAAATACTTTTATTTTTATTTTCATTCATCCGAAAAAATTATTATTTCTTACTTGCATATTCAGGAAATATTCCTTCACGTCTAAGTGCTCTGGCTTCACTTTCATACTTTGGAAAGTCAACAACAATATAACCTTTTGATTCACAATCTGGTTCTCTAAGTCGCTTTTTTAAAGCAACAGCCAATTCTTGCGGGGAAGCGCCCTGCTCAGAAAAGAATAATACCCTTTTGTTAATTTAAGTAGTTATAATGCTGTGAACCGTAAATTTGTTCACTTTTATAGCCATAGACAAAAAAGAGAAATGTTATGATTGTCACTGATAAATATTACTTGTAGAAAAGTCAATGTCAATAAAAATCTAAACGAATAAGTATTATGTGCATTTAATATTGCTAAATAAGAGAATATTAGTTATTATTATTATTATTTGTCCCTTGGCTTCCTAATGGCACATATGGCTTCAGTAGCACGTCTGCATTTCACTCTGCTCTCTGCAACCTTTTGAATCTTGTTCCACGACTACTCACAAGTTTTCATTTCTTCCTCACACCATCTCCTCCATGTCACCCTTGGACACCCAACTCGTCGTTTCCCTTTTGGATTCCACTCGACGGCCTGCATATTTGCTGGGCTATGGGTTCTTAGTTGGTTCGTCGCCGGCTAGAGTTCTATGTTGCTTATTCTTCCTGCCCATCTGGCCTTCAGCAACGAGCATAGGCATCTGCTGATGAGTGTCTGTAGTTTGCTGGAAATGCTTTTCGTGATGCTCCAAGTTTCTGAACCATATAGAAGCACTGCCTTGTCATTAATGCTGAAAATCCTGACCTTGTTCTTTATGCTGAGTAGAGTGCAGTAGATCTTCTCACTGGTTTCAGATTAATGAAGATCTGTCTTGCTTTTCCGATCCTGGCTTTGACGTCCTCGTATGTGCCACCTGTGGTTGAAACGATGCTGCCTAGGTAGGTGGAAGAGACCAATTCCTTTAGATTTCCCTGATGATGGTGATTGGTGCTTCTTGTTGTTGTTCTTGATTGAGTATCTCCATCACCTCCGTCTTCTTTGCGTTCACTTGAAGTCGCTTCTTCTCTGCCTCTTCGGTCAACTTGTTAGTTTTCATCTGTAGATCTTCGAGTTTGTGCAACGAGATATTCCACATAAATTATCATCGGCAATATCCAAATCTTGTAAGGTCTTTTCATCAGTGCAGCGTATGCCCGTCTTCTCGCTCCTCACGGTTTGCTGTATGATCCAGTCGACCACAATCAAGAATGTCATTGGTAATAGTAGGAAGCCTGGTCTTACTCCTATCTTCACTTCGAAGGCGTCACTGAGCTTTCTGTTGTGAATCGCTTGGCATGTGGCGTTTTCATGTAGCTATTAAATGAAGTTGATAAAGGTTTGTGGTATTCCGTAGTGCTGAAGCAGCCGCCTGCCAAATTACTTCTTGGTCGACGCTGCTGAAGACCTTTTCAAAGTCGATGAAGCTGAGGTAGAGTTGACTGCCATTCTATGCTCTGTTCTGTGATGATGCGTAGCGTTGCAGTGTGGTCCCCACATGATTTGTTCTTTTGAATCCAGCCCGTTCCCGTCATAATTTTGAATCCAGCGCATTGTTTAGTCTCTCCAGAATGATGCGGCTTAACATATTAGCTATGTTAGCATAAAAAACCTCAAATATCCTTCTTTTCTCTCAATTTGAACACTTTTGCAGCTCATGAAGTTTGCAAAAGTGGCTATCTAAAATCTGTAGTTGTTTACTTCATACATGCTGTGAAATAAATCCAACCGATCATCCGATATTAATTAATTGATGTGCATCGGTTATTTGACTGATTTCTCAACAGGTAATGATCCCATTAAAAAGATGCGTAGACTTATTGAAACTTTATAATGGACCTCCATCAAATCTACTTTTTATTACAAGTCGTTAAGGAGATCTTTTTTATGTATAAAAACACTTACTAAAGCGGATTATTCAAAATCCTACTTTCCTAATATCTTATATATTACCTGACCATTTTTCAAGCAGCTTTAAACATATGTTGACAGTTACTCAAATATATCAGCTCCAAAAAAAGCTGTGTTATTTTTTAAGTATATTTACAGAGTTTCCTAAGCGTTATTATTACGTCATTCAGCTACCTAGATTTCTATTCATGTCAGCAGAAAACTTAAGACTTTTTAGCATTCATTATCATAATTTATCATCACAGTTACTTTTATGTCTTGAGAAGAATTTTGACAAGTTTTGCCGAATTGGTTTTGCAAACTTTGAGCCCTTCATTCTAGACCAGTATGAAGTAAAATATCTTTCGGAGAGTATAGACGTTTTGTTTGAAAGCTTTGTTTCTTGATCTTAGGTAAGTGTAACCGTGCTTAGTCAAGAGTTTGAACTGGTTGCCATTGCTATAATATACATAATAGGCTTCATATACATAGTTAATCCTAACCTGGAGACATTTAAATCAGTGGTTAACAAACTGCCTTATGGCCCATACATAAGAGTGAGTCATCTCATAATGATATGCTTCTAAGTATAAGCAAAATTAACTCGACAGAAAGGAGAAAGTTTTGAACAAAAGTCAGAAGATGATATACAAAGATGAAAAATAAATGTAAATAAAGCAAAAGAATGATTTTCAGCTACCTGTGATTTTCAAGACCATCTATTTATGTTAATTTGAGTAAGCTACATTTTTGCCAAGCGATTAAAATGCCTATGAAGAAATCTAATGAACTAATGATGTATCTTGTTTTTGGTGTATTTGTAGCCCACTTATCTAACATCTGTCCTGGCAAACGCGGGAAGTTTATATGGTTACCTTATGTGGCTTATTCTAAACAACAGGTTTTAAATCAAAATCCTCTAAATGATCAGTGAAAAATAAAATCTCACCACCTCAAAGTGTCTTGATTTTAAGTACATTGCTTCAGTATATTTTGGTGAATGGCAATTGCAATTTCACTAAGAAAGATGAACTGACTGCATATCGTTTCTATGAGATATGTATTTCACTCCTCAAATCAACGTCTTGGGTTTTATATTTAGTGTAAAAGTGATGATAAACTACTTTATTTTTGGTTGTTATTCATAGAGGAATTTCGCAATAGGAGAGATTTCTTGGGAAAAAGCTTTTTGCTTTTTGTTCTACCATAACACTTCAAGTGAACACAACTGGTTGTATGCTGCTTTTTTTATGAAATATGGAAAATGATATGTTGGACAATCAGAGACAACAGTTAGCAAGAAATGTGGGAAGAAAACATGCTCATCTTGAGGCCTAAACTTTTGTCCCTTAAAGTGTGGTTAGTTCTCTATGATGTCACTAAAGATGAAATAAGATCCCTTCGAATTCACCTAATACTAGCTTGTAAGTTCGTGAGGAATTTTTTCAAAATCGGCACTTCACAGAATGACCTTATAAAGCGTACTCTGAAACAGACAAAACTTAGACGGACACAATAATGCAGAAACCCGCATGAAAGAGTACAAGTTTGTGTCAACTTATTTGACAGAATCTCAAAAAGATATTATTATTATATTATTATTAGTCCCTTGGGTTCCTAATGGAACATAGGGCTTCAGTAGCACGTCTCCATTCCACTCTGTTCTCTGAAATCTTTTCAACCTCGCTCCACGACAGCCCACAAGCTCTCATTTTCTCCTCGCACGATCTCCTCCATATCACCCTCGCCCGGGATGCCCAACTTGTCGCTTCCCATGGGGATTCCACTCGACGGCCTGGCCTGGCGCGTGATGTCCCCACTCGGCTTTCTCAGTGCATGCCCAATCCATCTCCACTTCCTTCCAGTGCATATTTGTCGGGTGATAGGTTCTTGGTAGGTCCGTTCCCAGAGCTCCTTGTTGCTTATTCTTCCTGGCAATCCATCTGATCTTCAGTAGCGAGCCAGCGTAGGCACTTGTTGATGAATGTCTGTAGTTTATTGGAAATCCCTTTCGTAACGCGTCTAGTCTCTGAACCATACAGAAGCACTGACTTGACTGGCATTGGTGTTGAAAATCCGGATGTTGTTCCACATGCTGAGTGCAGTGCAGAAGATCTCCACACTGGTTTCAGGCTAATGAACGCCTGTCTTGCTTTTCCGATTCTGACTTTAGCACCTTCGTCTGTGCCACCACCTGTAGTTGAAACAGTGCTGCCTAGATAGGTGAAGGAGGTTACTTCCTTTAAGTTTCTCCCGTTCATGGTGATTGAAGTTTGTTCTTGTTGGTGTTGTTGGTTCGGTATGTTCATCACTTCTGTCTTCTCTATATTCATCTGAAGTCCTGTCTTCGCTGCCTCTTCTGCTAACTTGTTAGTTTTCTCCTGTAGGTCTTCAAGTTTATGTGACATCAGGCACAAGTCATCGGCGAAATCCAAGTCTTCTAGGTTCTTTTCCGCAGTCCAGCCAGTGTATCCCCCTCTTCTCGCTCCCCACTGTTTGTTGCATTATCCAGTCGACCACAATCAGGAATATCATGAGGATAGTAGGCAACCATGTTTCACTCCTGTCTGACTTCACTTCAAAGGCATCACTGAGCTTCCCATTGTGAATTACTTGGCTGGCATGTGACATCTTCATATAGTTGTTGAATGAGGCTGATAAAGGTTTGCGGTATTCTGTAGTAATGAAGCACTTTCCAAATTACCTCTCAATCGACGCTGTCAAAGGCCTTCTCACAGTCGATAAAGTTGAGGTGTAGAGTTGACTGCCATTCTATATTCTGTTCTATGATGATGCGAAGCGTTGCAATTTGGTCCGCACATGATTTGTACTTCCTGAATCCAGCCAGCCAGTTTGTTCCGGTCGTAGTTTTGAATCCAGAGCATCCTTTAGCCTCTCCAGGATGACGCGGCTTAATATTTTGCTTGCTCTGGGTGGACAGGAGAGTGATCCCGCGACAGTTCTTGCAAACACTGAGGTCTCCCTTCTTCGGCAGTTTGACAAGGTAACCCTTCTTCCAGTCGCCAGGCACCTTTTCTTCCTTTCAGACCTTCTGCAATAGTGATATGAGCATGTCCTCTGTTGTCTCTGCGTCCGTTCTCAGTGCTTCTGGCGGGATACCATCTGGTCCTACTGCTTTCCCACATTTCAGTAGCTTTATGGCGCTCAGGACTTCCACTTTTGTTGGAGGATTTATGTTCACTTGTAGTTGTTCAGCGGCTGTAGGTGGTATTTCTGGACGAAGTACAGATGGTG